AATTAGAACGAAAAAGCAAATGAAAAGCTAGGGAGTCGCTGTTTTTTCTCTCTCTTTTATCAAACTGACATTCGATCTACCACGAAGAATCGAGAAAAAATCTGCAAGCATGGTATTCTCATAGACAAATTCGTTTTCTCTTATTTTTTTAACGAATTCATTCTTGCATAATTGCCGATCGTTCTCCGGACGAAAATTAATTCGGCGCGTATAGAACAACAAAATAACTACGCCGCAAGAGCATTAATGAGCGGATTCTCAATCTCCGTGTCTCTCTCTCGGGTAAGTGCACATCTCTTCGATCTCGGACGTTCTTTCGTTGGGGATAATAGACGCGAGATTCCCGAAAAGCGCAGGCAAATCGCGAAAAAAAAGCTTAGAATTTCGGACTCTCGATCGAAGCGATCGGGCTTAGACCCACGCACTCGAAATTTCATCGGTTCCTTCTCTCTCTCTCTCTCTTTCGGACGCGCGCGCGGACAAGTGCATCAGGGAATCTCGACTCTCGTGCGAGATTCAAATTACACGTTACGCGCTTGCAGACGTGCCTTCCCTATAGAACCCAAAATACGGAAAAAAGCGGGTGGCGGCGGCAATTCCGCTGCAGTCGATTTTTCTGCCACAATCGCGAGGGAGAGCACACGTGCGCGGGCGCGCGCAAGTCCGTGGTTAAATTCGATAATTACGTTATTTCGGGACGGGGGTGAGAGAGCACAGGTTCTGTATACTTGAGTCCGATAAACACTACCTTTCCCGAGGTGCGGAGGCTCGAGCGTAATGAGAGCCGTGAACGCGCCGGACAGATATATACGCGCACTATACACGAACTAGGGGTTCCTGCGCTTCATCGCGCCTCGGCTACTTAAACTTTTTTTCACTCCGACGCAAAGAGAGAAAAAAAAAAGAAGAAGAGACGAAACGAGTGAAGAGTGCGTTCGCGTGCTATACACTTTAAAAAGTATACATGTATAGGAAAACAACGGATATAAAAATTAACCCTTGGGCCGTTCGACCAAATAAAACGGATATAAGCGGATCCGCCTGGCTGCATGATGTGCGCTCGCGCGAATATCTGCCGAGTATATAAGCGAGTTCATCGCGCGGCTGCGTCCATATAAACCTGCACGCATCCATCGGGTTTCGGTACTTTTTTATGCACACACTGCAGCCTCTTCGATCTTCTTCTTTCATCTCTCTCTCTCTTTCTCGTTGATTTCGGCTATACACCGCGCCGGAAAAGGAGTACGTACCCGTATAATATAATGTATTCGCGCGCGGAAGTTCGCCATTATTGATGGGCCGAGGTCCGAGCGCGGGGCCATGTGTGTGTAATACGTTCACAATTAACCGCGTACTTGATACTCGTTCATTGAATCAGGAGTAATACGCTTAATCGGTACCGAGCACACGGCCCCGCAAAGTTGCGTTACAATTTTTTTTCTTTTCGGACGATCGTGTGCAAAAATCATTACACGAGTCGCATGTTGTGGGTTCGATGTTGTATCCGGAAGGTGTAACGAATCGACGCGACGATTGTTAGAAAGAAATCGTAACGAGCATCGAAAATCATAAGACATGGAGTTCTCGCGTTTACTATTTACTATTCAGCACATTTTTTGTAATTAGTAATAAAAAATGTATAAAGTATGTGAATACGTCGCTCTATGCGGCTGCAGCTTCCCCACATAGCTTCAAAGCTCTACCAGTACCTTTCAAGAAAGCTTTCCATGAAAGATTCGAGGAAGTTTCCAGAAAGTTTCTTTTAGCTTTCCGGAAGCACTCAAAAAAAGCTTTCATGGAATCTGTTCGAAAGTTTCCCAAAAAGTTGCAAGATAGATTTCATGAAATATTTTTTCGATGGTTTCATCAAAACATTTCGGAAGCTTGCCTGAACCTTTCACAGGAGCTTCCTTGGAATTATTTTAAAAGCATCAAAAAAAGCTTGGGGGAAGTTTTCTGTAAACTTACAGATCACTTTTAGGAGGCTTTTCAAAAAATTTCCATGGAAGCTTATTGAAAGTTTCGTGCAAGGTTTATTTCGAAAGTTTCAGTGAAACTTTCAAAAAGCTTCCTAGATACTATCCAGTTAGTTTTTAGCTTCATACGTTGCTAACAAGTGGCGTATACATAAATGTATCGAACCCGCAAATGGATAACACGAAATCTTTGTACAAGTACTATGTCTTTGACGGCCAATTTTGATATTTTTCTCCGCAAATAAGGGCTTTGGTCTTGAAAAAAGTCACACAAAGTCAGGTTAGTCACTATGCGGCAAGTTGTATAAAAGGGCCGTCACCGAGTTGAGAAAGAGAAGAAATGTTTGCAAGTTGTGAGAGTGAAAAATTTGGTCGGTTTTGAGGGTGAGTAGAGGGGATCGAGGAGCACGCGTCGGGCCTCGTGCCTCATTAAATATATACAGGTATAAAATATACGTGCTGCCGGTCTCTCCATATACCTTATATACCTTCGTATATTGCCGAACGCGCGGCGACGCGGGGCCAGTTGGTCAGCGGCACGCGATATATTTTTGTGCTCGCGCGCGCGTCTATTATATACATACACACATGGATGTTACCAGGAGCAATTACGAAGGCATTTATATACTATATATATATATGCTGGCGAAATCGAAGAGGCGCGCGGGGGACGACTCTTTCCGGAAAACCGGAAACAATGCGAGATTACCCCGCGCGCGAGGCTACACGAGGATGTATGTGCGTCAAGAGACATATTTAAAGCGTTTTTGTTTTACCAATGTATGTAAGGGCCAGTTATAAGCGCTTCAAGCTCGTTCGTGCAAAGTCATGTTAGAATCATTAGGAAACTGAAGATAATTTGATATTAAATTTGTAGGGGAAATTGAAAATTAGCCAACGGTTCAGTTAAAAATCCCTAGTCGATTTCATATTTCTTATGGAAGATCTCGTGGGCGACTAATGTTTCTGTTACACATCGGGCGAACTAAATGCCCAATTTTATTGTATTTGAAATGCGAGTGAAGAAAAAACGAGTTATATATTACCTGATGAAAAATAAAAATTGATCTGTAAGCAATATATCATCACGGAAAAATATGAAATAAAAAAAAATTATTTCACGTGACGTCGCTCGAAGCGCACTGAGGCGGGGCCTTATTATTCTATACAAGAGGATTCATAAGGAAGACGAAAATAAGATGACGGAAGACCCAGCAAAACAGTAGTGCGTAAAAGAGCCGAACACGAGTGCCTTCGAAAACATGTCGCGAAGCTCGATCATTTATAGCGTAAAAGTGTGCCTATATTATAAGCAATGAAGCGAATGTCCTCGGTCGGCTTTCGACGAATCAGCTAAGCCAGTCGCAATTCCTTCCGAGACAGAAAAGTGAGAGAGAGAGAGAGCCGATCACTTGTCACTTTGGCTTCGAGCATGAAAGCCTTCTGACGCAGAAATTTCCGCCCTCAACATCATTTAGTTTGGAAGTATTCTTCGCGCTCGTGTCCACTGATCGTCGGATGATATACATCAATATGCGAGCCATTAGATAGACAAAGTCGTACTGCATTGCCAGCTAAATTTGGTAATCGTATACGTCCTCGAGTGTTTACCAAGTTGTTGACGAGAGAGAAGAAGAAGCAAGATCAAACTCGATAATTTCTCGCCTCACACCCGCATGCTCTTTATAAAAATAAATGACAAATTCGGTGTAATAAATAAAATTATGAACCAGATTAACGTGGGCAAGTGCAAAATACTATATGTGTTACACGCCTCGATCGAGCCGCCCACGAGCAAGCTCTATCGTGAATCCTCGTGTAATATAAATAATTGTAAGGACGACGACGATGGATGCAAAAGCACTGATGCGTACTTGCATACATAGTCCCGTACTACCCTTTTGGCTCGCTGCAATCTTTTCTCGAACTTGATGAACCTACATGAAAATAGCAATATATGTTCAAATCTCATTGTTGAAATCTCGACGCCACGGTGTCATCCTCTCTTTTTCCTCGAGCGAGTTGTCTCGCAACCTTCCTTCTTGTTTTACGATCGAATTGCCCGTATCGTCCACGCTTTAATTTTTTTCTCTCGCTATATACCTTTACGTCCGCGAATCGGGGCCCTCACGAGTTATCCTGCGAACGAGATTTTCATAAGAGAGCCCCGAGCGCACAAGAGGAAAAAGAACTGAAAGCGCAGATCAATATCTATAGTTTCTGGTAATAACGTAATTGGAAGATGAGGCGTTTGAATCACAAGGTGCAAAGATTAGGCTCATAATCTCCTTCGTTTTTTTAATCAAAACGATAATTTTATGTTGTAAGAGTTTTATTTGCACTATAAATTTTTTTTCATCACTTTCTGTGGCAATAAACTTAATTTATTCTCATAATCCCACTTGTCACGATTTCATTGGATTAATAAATTTAATTAGAAAAACTAGGCAACTCTCACAATTTGACCAAAAACGAAATTTGATTTTTCTGTAAACAATTTTTTGCGTTTTTATAATTCATAAATAGTTCGTAATTAATTGGACGTGTTGAGAATTAAGTCAAAATTTTATGATTTACCTAAATTACTGCGTTATCGACTTACCATGCATTGGTAAAAAAATTGATTGTTAACAAAATTAAGTTACTTGCATAATTTTTTTTAACACACTAAAGATAATATTAAATTTTCTTCTTAATAAATTTAGGACTAAGCATTTCTAATGCTTTTAATTTTATTATGAATTGATTTTTTTTCAAAAATCCATTGAGAATGTAGTAATTGTAGCAAGTAATTTAAAAGTTATTTATGTGTAAAAAATTTATAAAAATGAGATGACATCAACTACAGTGATCAGAGACATCAAATTGTTTTGAACACTTTAAAAATTAATTTATTATTCATAGAATCAATTTTTTAATTACATATAAAATTACAAAAATTTTTCACAATTCATTTGTACAGATTAATTTAGAAAGAATCTGCTGTTTTTAGTTGTATATAATTGTAAATAAAAATTATCTAATTTTTAAAGTAAATATGCTTAAACGCAAGGTAAAAACTTTTTGAATGTAAAATACTTAACCCAGTAAGTATAATTTTTTTAATTCTAAACAGATAATTATGTTGATAAAATTACACTTTGAATTAGTGTAATGCTCTGTTCATGAATCATTACATTTGTTCTGACATATTGTTTTTCGATACTGCAATGGCTGATTTCCTGAAACTTTATTAGTACATTAATTTTTGTTGCTAAAAATATTAACATAAAATGGAAATATTAATATTATTTTATAAATATTTTACCTATCTGGGTGTCTAAAATTGAAATTTCTAACCATTCATCACTTCCATCACAGCAGTCACAAACTCCATCATTAACTCGGTAGGATGGAATTTTTTCTAAAAGTATGAGAATTAGATATAAATCTAAAAATATAAGGTATATCATATCAATTTTTACCTGTCATTCCTTTGGAAACTTTTTCACAATGAAAAATACCATTGTTGCAAGCGTTTGTACCTGGTTCGTCGCTACCATCTTCAAGGCAATCACAGTAATCATCATTAACTTTTATAAAATCTATTTCAGTCTTTGATTTAAGACACTTGAACTTTCCTTTCGAATTAGGAATGAATTTTAATGTATCTTTGATATGTATTCCTCGCAAAGATATAGAATGACCATATGGATCTTTGACTATTTTTGAATGATATGACTCATTCCACTTGGGAAGTACCTTTTAGACAATATTTAATAACATTCATATTAATCTAAAATATTTTACACCATTGAATATTCCATAATACTTGTTAGGAATTGTTTCACTGACCTTATGAGCAGCAACATGTTGTCTATACTTTGAGTCAGACTCAACTTTGTCAGACAAAAAATCAGCATAGCTTATTTGTAAAATAACAAAGGATGCTGCTGTCATAATGAATATTGTCAACCTGTTTTTTCGAGCGAATCTCCGGCACCTTTTGAAAAGTTTCAACATTATAAAACTTCATTCGAAAGTGTATGTTGCACTTTCTCCATCAACTAACAAAAGAATCTTGTGGAAGCCTTCAAACTGCAGCGTTGTACACTCGACGCATCAAACACTATCAAATCGTAAATAACATGATATATCGATAATTAAATTGAAGGAAACTCCTCTTCATGGGAAGACTGACAAATGCAGCGAATGAAAAGCTTGATCTACCTATAATTTACGATTGCACCCTCAGTCCGCAATGTTTTGTTTACTTTTAACAAGCCGGCTGCTATCCAGCCACTGACCAGTCACTACTCGACTCACTACACAAAGTACAAACACACGAGACAGAAGTAATGCTGGCTGGTGACAATGCAGAGCCCACTGCCCAGTGGCTTGACTGCGGAGTGCGGACAAACTTGGAAGCTGACGATTTTGACGCATAGCGTTATTATATCGCTGCTCTAATTTACGAGACTTAAAAGTCATTTCTATGTTTTACAATTTTTTATTCAATTTTTGGTGATATGAGTAACTTGTTTAAATGAATGACGAGAAAGCAATGGAAGAAGGAGAACTCCGTAGAAGTCCGTGAGTACAATTTTTTCTTACTAAAACAATTGTCAATTTTATCGATTTTTCGTTCAAGAGCTACTGTAAGCATGCAAAGACGCTATTATTTTTACTGAACAATTAGAAATTTTCCTTAAAAGTAGAGATGATTTTTATATTTAAGGATTTCTAGATCATAAGGTTATGTGAATCTATAGCAAGACATATGATATGATTTTCAGTAAAAAAAGTTCTTATTACTGCTGTGAAATGGTATCTATATAAATTCTAACTTTCAAATAGTAAAAAAACAAGTCAAGAAAACCTATAAATTCATTTTATTCTTGTAATAATCATTGTGCATTCATTTTATTCATGTTATTCACATAATTAGATGGTTTAATTTCACATAATTGAAAGCTAATCTGTTGATTGGAAATTCTTGACTTACAAGCACTCAATCAAATAATCACGTATGACATTAATTTGAATAATATATTATATTTATGCACACCTTGAATAGTATATTATTAATACACCTGTTGCAATTTTATATTTTTAAAATTATAATATTTTTAAATTTATTGATCACTTATTATTTGTAAATGATATGTTTTAGTTATTCTGAGGAAGAAGGTGCAGATACTGCTGATTCATTGGAAATCAAACCCCCGCAAGCAGTAGTTAGGCATAGAAAAATTATATCAAACCACCATGATAAATACTTGGAACGAAGTGCTCAACGTAAAGATGAGAAAGACAGAAATCAATACCGCAATTATACTAGCAAAGATGAAAGCAGGTACAGAGAACAATACTCCCATAGCAACAGACATCATAGATCCTTAGATTTTACAGAAGCAATAGAGAAACAAGTGAGTAGAAGATCTGATCCTTCTAAAAGAGAGCGAGAATTTTCTCGTACTGAGAGAAAAGATCATAGTACTGGTGACAGAGTTCTAGAAGATCTCAGAGAAAGGTAAATGAACTTATAATTTGATTTAATTTTACTTTTATTTACTTAAATAATTTTGATATCTAATGAACATACTGTACTGATTAGTGACTCACAATTAATATAGTAATCATATATATTGAAAAGTTTGATGTTTTACTTATCCACTAAATTTTATTTTTCCATGTTTCATTTAAAAAAAAAAAAACAGTAATTTTGGTCATACCGATAGTAACACCAATCTGAGCAGAGTAACTAACAGGTATTGGAATATTGATTTTTTAAAAGTATGAGCAAACCCTTGTTGCATACTTTTTTTAATCTAAAGTATTTTAAGAACTTTTTAGAATCAATCTGTTAATATGTATGATTATTTACTTGCAATTTTGAAAATTATCACTCTTATCATTGAAAATATTATCCTTTGATTAAATTATTTCTATAATTTTTCTGTACATTTGTGTTTACAGAGAATGATAAAAGTACTTCAAGTAAAAAATGATAATAGAAAGTAAATAATGAAGAACATTTGTTTCCAGATTACTTGATAAACGAGAAAAACGAGAAAAACGAGATGAGTATAGATTGGAAGTGTCTTCGTCTTCCCGCAGTCGGGATGAATTACGATTGTCATCCGGAAGTACCGATCGTCGAGAAATGGAACGACGAGAACTGAAAATGATAGCAGCTATGGAAAAAGCTGTAGCCAACGCCCGTGACAGGCGTGAAGTTCGCTTGATTGAAGAACGAAGTAGCCGTCACATACGATTGCCGGAACATGATATGTCTTATCAGCAACATCTTGAAATAATGGACGAGGCAGAAAGATATCCGGTACAAGAGAAAAGACATAAGAGGTCGCACAAGCACGAAAGAATTCGATCTAGAGATGAAGAAAAGAAACATAGGCATGGTACGGGAGAAAAACACTCCAGAGAACATCGTCATCAGCAGGTACCTGAAGCTTCCTTGTACGAAGATCTCGATCGTATGGAAGTAATGATAAGTAAGCAGCACATTGCAATGAAAGATCCAAAGGACATGAACGAACAAGAGCTGCGACGCCACAGACTCATTGAAGCTGAACGAGAAATGGCTCGACGAAAAGAGAGTTCTCGGCTAGAACTTGAAGCTCGTCGGATAAAACGGGGCGAAAAACGCAAACACGATGACGTATCATCGTCTATGGATCCATCGGTGGTAGAATTATCAGATGAAAATCTCCACTCGCCCGATTCAAATATGAGCAATCCAAAAAGTCACAATTCAGCTGCATCGGATCAAGAGAGTGGAAACAATTCCGACGGCGATTCAACTGATTCAAGTTCCAGCTCAAGTTCGGATGAAGACGACTCTGATGCATCTAAGCATTCAAATGAAGATTCTAATTCAGATTATAATCTAAGTCCAGTATCCCAAATTCAACTTGCTAAATCTGATGCATCAAATAATGAGTCTTCTTCGGAACATGTAGATACAAATGGTACAAGTAAGGAACCAGAAAATGACACAGAAAAAAGTGAAATGGACTTGATGCTTGAGCTACCGGCTTACTTACCAGCCATTCAAGGATGTCGCAGCGTTGAGGAATACAAATGTTTAAATCGTATAGCAGAAGGTACTTACGGCGTTGTCTATAGAGCTGAAGACCGGAGAACCAAAGAAATAGTTGCATTGAAAAGATTAAAAATGGAAAAAGAAAAGGATGGCTTTCCAATCACAAGTTTACGCGAAATTAATACGTTACTCAAAGCTCAACACCCTAATATCGTCACTGTTCGAGAAATCGTTGTTGGCAGCAATATGGATAAAATATTCATTGTGATGGATTACGTCGAACACGATTTAAAATCTCTAATAGAAACCATGAAATCTAAAAATCAAGTTTTCATTCCCGGAGAAGTTAAGTGCTTGATGCAACAACTTTTGCAAGCTGTATCACACATGCACGATAATTGGATTCTTCACAGGGATCTCAAAACGTCAAACTTACTATTAAGTCACAGAGGAATTTTAAAAGTTGGCGATTTTGGGTTGGCCAGAGAATATGGATCTCCTCTTAAACAATACACTTCTATTGTTGTCACATTGTGGTACAGAGCCCCGGAATTACTACTGGGTAGTAAAACTTACAGTACGCCGATTGACCTGTGGTCGGTCGGATGTATTTTTGCCGAGTTGCTTAGAATGGAAGCTCTCTTCCCAGGAAAATCAGAGCTCGATCTTTTAAACAGAGTATTTAAAGAATTGGGAACACCAAATGATCGAATTTGGCCCGGTTACAGCAAATTACCTATGACGAAAAAAGTTTCTTTTTCACAATATCCAGTGAACAATATCCGACAAAGATTCAATCTTTTAACGGATTTGGGTATAGATTTACTCAATAAATTCTTGACGTACGATCCAGAGCAACGAATTTCAGCGGAAGATGCTTTGAAACATGGCTATTTTATCGAATCACCCGTGGCGATTGATCCATCGATGTTCCCTACTTGGCCTGCCAAATCAGAATTTGGGGCGCGAACAATTAATCAATCCCCTAAACCACCAAGTGGTGGGAAAGAATTCAAACAAAAGGGATATAAGGAAGACGAAGAGGACAATGTGTCAGGATTTCACATGGGTGGGCGCGCAGCGACCCGACAAGCCGTTGGAGGTGGATTTCATTTGAAATTTTGACGAAATTAATTTTAAAAAATGGTACAATTTATATCATGTAAATTGAATCCTTGTATTATATGCTTTAACTGTATTATATAAATTCGACTATTATTATATGAACTAGTACGTATAGTGTAACTTGATATGTAATAGCATATAAGATAATTTGAATATTTGTACATAAATATTTGTTAAAATGAAATTACCGTTATTATAAGATCTTTCTTTTCATATAAATTTCTTTAATTTACATACCTACTTTCGTTGAATTATGTTATTTATAGTCCTTGAAAAGTTCTAGTAAAATTTAAAGATTTTTCATATTTTAAAATGTTAATAATGAATTTTCTTGTATTTATTCCGAAAAACTTTTGTGCTCGATTAAGTCACAGAAATTCGATAGTCTCGCAAAATGCAAAATCGTTTGAAGCGTCGATACAATCGTTCACTGTTCGATACACGGCGTTCTGATCGGCGTGGCAGCGCCCATTACAAAGCATGCTTTGGTTTACTCTTTGGACCGCGGCAGACGACAGAATGCTAAATTTTAGTGCTTTGAAATGTTATTTATCAGTTACGCACGCTGGTAGCTAATCTTATCTGATCTCGAAAGAGTTTTGATGTCATGTACATTTTTAAAACTTCGATGACTCTGGGACACTTCGCAATTTTTCGCTTTCAAAAAGTGCTGTGTAATTTTACAAATTTCGATTGATGTTTTGACTGATTGTCTCTAAAAATATTTACATCAGATTGTTCATGTTCTCGTACGGGTAAAATTTTTAGTTTAGGTTCTCATAACTGAACTTTTTATTTACCCCTAGTCCAAAAACTTATTTTACTATGGATTCCGAAAGAAATGGTGTGCCTTATTCTCACAGTGGTGACAAGGAACAAGATGAGGTTAGATAGTAATCATTTTGTTGTTTTATTTATCAACAATATTATTCATTTTATGCTTACCCTACTCTATGAAAATATTTTTAAACTAGAAAGCAATATAAATTTAATTACTTTGTAGAAACTTCTCCAACCATTTACATACATTCTTCAAGTACCTGGAAAGCAGATTAGAGGAAAATTAGCCCACGCATTTAATTACTGGCTTAAAATACCCGTTGAAAAACTTCAAGCAGTAGGTGATATCACCCAAATGTTACACAACTCTAGTCTTTTGTAAGTATTTTCTATGATTTTGTTGTGACAAAAGGTTCTTAATATGAGTCTTACTAATTTGTTCATTAATCTAATTTTCATAACAGAATAGATGATATTCAAGATAACTCCATACTTAGAAGAGGTATCCCAGTTGCCCATTCCATTTATGGAGTTGCCAGTACAATTAATGCTGCTAATTATGTATTATTTATTGCTTTAGAAAGAGTCATTGCACTTAATCATTCTGAGGTCTTAAATAAAATTTTATTGAATTTCAATAATCTTCTCCAACAAATTTTTTCTTCTTGTTAACTATTCTTGTCATTTTTTATGTACAGGCTACTCAAGTGTACACGGAACAACTTTTAGAATTGCATAGAGGTCAAGGTATGGAAATTTATTGGAGAGATAATTTCATTTGTCCTTCAGAAGCTGAATACAGGACTATGACAATTCGGAGTAAGTAGTTTCAAGGATCATTAATACTGAAAGATAACACAAATATAGAATAGATATCTTACATCATAATAACTATGTTTATTAGAAACTGGGGGATTATTCAATTTAGCAGTTCGTTTAATGCAACTATTTTCACCCAACAAAGAAGATTTTACACCTTTAGCGGGTATTTTAGGATTGTATTTTCAAATTCGCGATGATTACTGTAATTTATGCTTACAAGAGGTAAGAATCATATCACATAGATATTTTCAAAATTTTATAAATGATTTTATAATGATTTAATTTTTAGTATGCAGAAAACAAGAGTTACTGTGAAGATCTTTCTGAAGGAAAATTCAGTTTTCCAATTATTCATGCTATTCAAACCCATGCTGATGATGGTCAAGTTTTAAGTATCCTTTTTAAAAATTGATTGATTTTCAAATTAAAATGTTTAATTGTATGCATATAATTGGGCTGCTAGTACAGCTATAATCTAAATACTTTCCTTATAATATTATTTAGACATTCTCCGTCAAAGAACCAAAAATATTGAAGTAAAGAGATACTGCGTTACTTTATTAGATAAATTTGGTTCATTTGCATACACAAGAAAAGTATTAAGTGATCTTGACAAACAAGCTCGAGAAGAAGTAAGTAGACTTGGCGGGAATCCATATTTAATAAATGTATTGGATGATTTATTAACTTGGAAGCAAGAGAAAAGTATGAATAATGAACATGTGTGTAGTTGATTTACAACTATCTTTTTACAATTGTAAAATCATATAAATATTCATTCATATTCTTTGAAAAATTATACGCATTTATACGATTTATGATTAGAATTTAATATATCAAACTTAAGCTCTAATTTAGAGCATAATGATACAACTTTAAAGTCTTATATAATTTTATGGTTTATACAAATTATAAATCAATAATATTTTTATGTATATAATATTGTTAATAATAATACTAAAATAAGCAATAACATGTAATAATTCATATAAAATAGTAGGTCAACTATTAGTAATTTTTTTTTTTTCATTATGACGAACATGATAAAATTTTATACATTGTAATATTGTACAGAAAATTGCTTGTAACGGAATAATATTTTAATAAGTTTAATAAATTTTTTTTTATTGATATTTATAACTTTTGAGTTTTAGTTTTCTTATTATTACGAATGACCATGAATCTTACTCTGACGCGCCATCTAATAGATTGGTAATTCGAAAACCATACTGAGGCACCATGCCTATCTCTTATACTTGAAAAATTTTATTTTATATCTCAAGGATCATTTTTAATATCCCATTTAGTGTAGAGTGAATTAATAACAGATGCACATCAGTTCATAGTTTAGATTTTTTAAAAATTGAGCTTTCGTTATCTGTATCTACTTTTGGGGACTAAGAAATTGTATCTGTTCGATAGTTCCGTTTGTCTCGACTAAGTACACGGGGTTAACATCGATTCTGTCCGATGGAACGCCAGAATTTCCTATTCTTAAATACTTTCCACGTTGACTTTTTCAATTAAAAATTATTTCCCTTCTCTTGCCAGAAATAATTAGTGTCCATCAGTAAAATCAAAATCTTTCAATAGGCCGTGTTTAATCAATTTAGGGTTTATAAAAAATCATTACCTGACGTTTATAAAAAATTCAGTAGTTTACTAAACGCTCGCTCCATTAACATTTCTAAACAAGACTTGAAATAAATTATTTTAGAGCAGCAATTAACAGTCATCTGGTTAAAAAATACAGCACCAACCACGACAGTAAACAAGGTGTAATGATAGTTGATGATAGCACGAGGTTCAAATAAAACACAATCATATTGGCACAATTTTTATTTAAATTTTACAAATAATTGTACTTGAACATCTATATAAATTTCTATATATATTTACAATTGTCAAGAAAAAAAAACAGCGATGTATGTTATTTTCCGAAAAAACTATGTATACGTCTGCAATGAGTTCGAGAAATTCTTACAAGCAACAAATTATTCTTAATAACTGGATTATCATCTGACGTAAAATTGGATGCAACTGCATATATCTTCGATTATAATAAGAAAAAAACGTATTTATCGCATACGTTTAATGTTGTAAAAATTGTCCGATAGTTAGTACCTGAGAATTTCATTGACTGTTTTTCTGTTTTAAATTCGATGGAGGTACACAAAATTTTAATGATATTAGTGGAACGTCATTTGGTGCTCCAGAAAATTTGATTTATTTCCAAATTTTCTCTCGCACTTGTCGCATGCATAATCTTGGTGAACCTCATGGACTGTCCGTTGGTGTCTCGACAAATCTGATTTTTGTACAATTTTTTTTCGCACTTGTCGCATGCGAAATCTTTGCAAGCATTGTGGACTGTTTTTATGTGTCTCTTCAAATTCGATATTCGTTGAAATTTTTTCTCGCACTTTTCACATGCAAAATCTCTACTTCCTTTGCGACTTTCATGAACTGTCCTTTGGTGGGAGAGCAAATGCGATCTTTGTCCAAATTTCTTTTCGCATTTATCACATGTGTACTTTTTTTGACCTTCATGGACTAGTTTTTTGTGTCTGATCAAAGTGCTTTGTTCGCCAAATTTCTTCTCGCATTTGTCGCATACGTAATCTTTACGATTTTCGTGGACTGTTTTTTGATGCTTCCGCAAATTGCTTTGATCCCCAAATTTCTTCTTGCACTTGTCACATGGGTAATCTTTGCGATTTTCGTGGATTGTCTTTTGGTGCTTCAACAAATCTGATTTATATGCAAATTTTTTCTTGCAATTGTCGCATTCGTAATCTTTGCGACCTTCATGTACTGTCATTTGGTGCAGTAACATATCTGATTTTCGTCTAAATTTTTTTTCGCACTTCTCACATTTGTAATCTTTGCGTCCTTCGTGGACTGTCTTTTGATGGGAAAGTAAAACGGATTTATATCCAAACTTTTTCTTGCACTCGTCACATGCGAAATCTCTCCGGCCCTCGTGGACAATTTTTTGGTGTAAGAGCAAATGCTGTTTTTTCATAAATTTCTTCCCGCAATGGTCACATAAGTAACTTTTGTCAGTCTTCAAGGCTAAATCTTTCAGACCTTCGTGTGCTTTCTTCAGGTGGACGAGAAAATGCGATTTATTTGTAAATATTTCCTCGCTCTTGTCACATGTAAAATCTTTTCGATCGTGGTGTACTGTCTTTATGTGCATGAGCAAACTTGGTTTATTCCCAAATCTCTTGGCGCACTTTTCACATAAATAATCTCTGAAAACTTCGTGGAATATTCTTTTGTGCTTGAGTAAAGTCGATTTATTTTTAAATTTTCTCTCGCACTTGTAGCATGCAAAATCGTTGCGGCTTTTGTGTTCTAATACTTGGTGCCTACTCAAATGACTTCGGAACTCAAATTTCTTCTGACACTCGTCGCATGCGAAATCTTTTTTTTCATTGTGAATCGTGTCTCGGTGTATTAACATGTTTGATTCTAGTTTAAATTCCTCCTGACAAATATCAAAAATGTATTTTTTGTCGTCTGATACAAAAATTCCATATTCACTTGAATTATCTTTCGAGAAAATTTCCTCGGATTTCTTCTTAGTTTTATCCATTTTAGTACCTAAATTAAACAATGGATCCTTCAATTTAATGTAACGGAAATCGAACGGGTAAAATTTATTTCCTGGTATTATGACTTGTTTCATCGGAAAAGAAAACATTCAAACTAATTTGTTTTTACATACATATAATTAGTGTTTCGAGAGACGATGTCAAAATCTATTATCATGGTAATGTTTACAACCAAGTTACCGATTTATTTGTTTATACATTATCCTTCCAAATTTGAAGCATTTTAAAATTCTAACTCGGTGACGATTCTAAAACTAAATATTCTTCAAAAATGCTTTTTATAATATCGAGTCAATAGATCCTTGTAAAATGTATAATAAATTATAAAAAATTTTAATATTTATTACAACATATCCCGCCGATATCCGCAAGCATTCCATCCATGGCATGGTTGGCGTGCTCCATAATCTGCCACTGACTGCGTGGTGCAGCGGCGTGGTGAGACGCAACAGCAGCTTGCCGTCTTCATCGACGTCAAGTTCTTCTTTGTATAGCCGGTCCTGATCATAAAATCTATGTAGAACGCTCCTACTTTCTATATATAACTTTTATTCCTTATTTTTCGAAAATTTGTTATAAACAAAAATTTTTTTGGAAAAATCAAAATACGTCAGTAACTGCTCAAAGAAAGTGTGCAAAAGTTCAATAGGATCAGTTGGATACTTTTTGAGTGACGTTTCTCAGTGATTTTAACGATGTCATTCCGAGAAGTGAAATTTATGTGTTTTTGAACATGGAGTGTACTGGTTCTCAATACATTTTAAGATATAGTTGCTATTTGACAAATTTGTTGAGGTTCAGCCTCGCTATCTTCGTCCGTCTCACTGGCCCACGAGGGCTGACGCTCTTGTCATATAGTTTCGTGACACTCACCGAAGCCTCTTCGACTACCCACACAATCATCGATTATCTGTAGTATAAAACCTGATAAATCAAGTGCGATAATTTTTTAGAAAAATAAATTGAATGAATGAATTACCAAGACTTCTTCAAAGTGATTGTGACAATCGGACGTTGCATTCAGCAAATTTTGATTCACCGAGTGAGTTAGGGAAACTTGTACTGCTGAATTTGGGGTATTATGAGTAGCTGAATGCATGATCGTCAATGACAATAATAGCAGGGCTGGAAATTTTCCACATTAATGTTACAATGGAACAGATTTATGAATCCACGAGTCTCCACTAAAAGTATGTTTTCTGAATTGCTCTTACCATTAGAATAATAAAGCCAAGTATTATATGATATCCAGGCTAATATACAGGCGAGCGGCAAGTAAAATAATCCCTTTTTCCAACCGCTCGTCGCTGAGTAAATAACAGACCAACAACGAACTCCAATACTTTCCGTGCTCCTACAAAAGTACAAGAATATATTTAATACATTTATGTAATAAATGTACTCTCTATTATTATTATTTTATGTTCAACTTTTTTAATCGCATTTTCGCATTCGCATTTTTAAATGAATTTTCAGAGTTTTATATACAAATATTAGTTATTAGACACGAATAAATTAGTTATTTATTAAGGATGGAAATATTTTATTTCATAAACGTCGACACTTACCGACTAGAATCTCTAATGTAGAAATCTATCATCCACTCGGTTTCAAAAAAGAAAATGATGAACGAAGAAACACTGAAGAAATAATTATGAAGTTATTAAAGAAAAATATTGAGAGTGCATTTTATTGCGTTTTGAAATGAATAAAAAAAATTGGTGTTGCTACTCACAAGATGTACAAACTTAGCTCATGGCCGTTTAGAGCACAGTCTAGTCCAACGATGCAAGTAACTACGAAAATTTATTGAATTTAGTGAATCATGAAGAATATACATTTGAAGAATATACATATTATTAAATTAATATTTTTATCAAAATATCTCATAAAAAATGTTAGATGTCACTTTAGAATGGTGCAGAATGAACGAGCTCTATAGAAAACAAAGTATTTTTATGCATACTTACAATATCAATTTTAAATTGTAATCATCATTACTTTTGTTTATAAAACATTTGTTAATGAAAATATGTATTGAATGAAAATCATAAAGTCGTTCTAGAATTTTTATCGGCAAAAGAATTGGTTCTTTTTTAATACTATGGGAGAAAAAATTTTTCAGGAAACGACAAGCAGGGCGGGAAATGAAGTTTTGCGAGTTTTCCTGGCGATAATTAGATTGAACGATGCAGGCGCTACTTAAAATTGTGATAAGCTGTTTTAGCAAGATGTTTCACAATCTTACTGGTGTAATCAAAATGCATCCATTTGACATTTTAATTCGGTCTTTGTTTTTTATGAAAGCAGATATTTCGGTTACAATGTGTAATAGTTCGTAAAATAGAACGAATAATTAAAATGAAGTTTCAAATTAAAAAAAAGTTTTATGACTATAATAGTGTAAAATAATTAGTTTTCGGGCAGAAATGCACCAATTGATGTTTTGTAAGTAATATGATGCGTAAGTTTGATGTATTAATCTTAAATTTTGCATTATATTTCATTAGAGTAGATACTTCAAATTTTAAGTAATACCTACTTTCAGAGGTTGAATGTTCTAAAATAAATAAATTATGAAAGTGTTCAATAACTAGAACTCAAAATTTCAGCTTTAGTTTACAAAGAATTGATGGTCAATGAAAATCGATTAAAATCAGAATTCTTAGCTTAACATACTAACCAACTGCTGTGAAGATTCCAATAATTCTTGATAAAAGTAAACATTTTTTTTCAACCAACATACTTGTCATAATTTACGACCACTTGTACGATAATGATCTTCGCTAAGAATTACTTATCCAATTAATATTACTTATATTCACACAAAAAGCCATTTCAAATTCATTATTTTTGATACTTCCGAATAATCGAAAATGAATCAATATTTTTTTCCACAAATTTGAATTTTTTTATTTCAATACTAGCTGTGGAGTCAATCAGTGATTCGAGATTTGGATTTCTATAAAAATAATTACTTTTTCAAAATAAAAAACTCGTTGATGAAATTCGAATCGCTCAATGATGTTACTTTCAGAGGCAACTGATATTTTCTCTCCAGAAATCGAAACACTAAAAACAATCAAGTATTAATCGTAGCCACGAGCTTTCGAGCGAGAACGTAAGAAGCTGTCAGTGTAGGACATTGGCACGCGCGAGACTGCACGACGAGATCGTCGCGGTTGAAAAGCATTGCGGGGATGCTGCGTAAACGAAAGCGCGCGCGCGCCTCGTGATGCCAGTGCCGGGCTTCGTGTATATCTATATGGGTGGCATTCATGCAGTAGACGACGCTGCGCAGCGGAGCAACAGCCTCGCATAAAAAATGTGCACAGTTTATACGTGTAGAAGAGAGTCTATTGTGCGAGACGCGAAGGGCGAGCTTTCCTCTATGTGCGTTTCTACTCGGCCGCCTCAGCGAACGCGCATATATATCGCGAGCAGCGCGCCCGCTATGCTGCTTCGCTAGTATGTGGCCCCGTGGAGTGCGAGCTTTTTAATGAGCTTTTCAAATATTCACTTAGCAGCGGTGAGCCGGAGCGCCAGCGAGCCAAGCTCTCTCTCTCTCTCTCTCGAGTGTGTTTGTATGCGAGTCTTCGTACTCTCTCTACCCGTGTGCGTGGGGGATTTTTTTTTCTTCAGCCGTACAGCTCGTATGAAGTCTCGCGCGCACGGGCTTTTTTTTCACCCTCATTCGTTCCATTGAGTTTGTTGCTTCGTGCTTGCAAATATTTATGCAAAGTATCAAAAATTTCTTTGTTTTCTCGATGCAAATATAGTTCAAGCTCACTCACTGTGAGTCGAAATTATGTCAGTTTTGGACAATTGAATGTTTATAACTGAAAAAAATTACGTGTACGTGTTTGAGCGACATAGTAGGAATAAAGAAAATGAAAGACCAAAGAATTAGAATAATAAAATTATCATTATTGTACCAAGAAGTCTCCAAATGTGGGCTACAAAAATATTTATATCGCCATACGGTACATAAACTTCGTACTTATGCTTTGTGTTTCGAATACATAGTCTCATTCTTTCATGATTTTCTTTAAAAAAAAAAAAAAAAATAGCGTATCGCTGGCTTAAAACTCGCCTTCAACGGGATAGATTATCAACGTTCCGACGAAGAGTTTGTACTTTCATAAATCTGGTGAAAATAATAATTAATCGCGCTCATATGTGGCACATACATAATATACACATATTGTTCTAATATGAAACACGCACACACACTCACACACACACACACTCACTCAGACTATACACACATATTCATGAGATTCACGGGCACAAACTTCACGTGTTTGCATGTCGCCCGATCGCAGCGCGAGATAGCGCAGGGCTCGAATTTACATACACACATATATAAGTTCATATGTATTACGTACGTTATAGGTCTTTTAAACGGAAACCGTCCAGAAACGTACTCATGAGCCGAGGATACTTATCTCCTTTAAGAAATTTCATTTAACGTCACATGTTCGTGCGCTCGTAATATATACGCGAATGCCACAAGTTTACGATCCACCCACACTCGCTCGTCACGTGTCTGGCGCGTCCCCCGCGCGACTGCATCGTATACACGCGCTCGATCCTCGTCATTTGCTTCGTAACATGGAGTCTTTATAGGAGAGAAAAAAAATTATAATTACGCGAGAATAGACCGATTATTACGCGAGCTGCAAAGTATTAGAGAATGATTAAACGCACAAGGATAGAACAGATTTTCGTTCTCGTACGGTGCGAATCGAATGAATAAGTACACGAGATTAGATACAACGATGGATAAAAATGAGAAATACTAGCTCGAACGAGTGCGAAGGTCTAGTTCGTGGGCGATGCTCGAAATAAACGCGCTTAAGATAACGGGTTCAGTCAGGCAAGGAATGTACATGTATTTTATACATAATATATAATATATAGTATATAAGGCACGTGAAGAAAATCGTTGAACTTTCGAGTTAAGGCCAAAGTCGAGGCCGTCGCGGCACGCTCAAACTCATTGGCTCTCGAGGGTAGGTTTCAGCCGGGCCAGCTTGATTTTGGTCGACGTAGGCGTCGTCGCCGTCGTGGTTTCTCGTCGGGCCGAGCGAACGATGTGCGAGCCACGTATCTCCAGGCCGTCGAGTCGATTGTTTCGGCAGCTGCAGGCGCGCGACGGTGGCGGCGACAAGGAGCTCGGCTGGTGAGTCGCGGAACGGTCCATCGGGCTCAAGCAGTTACGATGGCGACGAGCTGACGCAGCGGTAGATTGGTTCTGATCGTTTGGCTTGCCCATCGACCTGTAACGAAAAATCAATCGGAATTATTATTGATTTTATTTTATTTTACCTAGCTTGAAGCTCTGACATAATTTTCGTAAGATTTTTCATACTTGTAATGTATACTCGTTTCTAGTTCAAAATTAGTTTGTTATGAGCCTCGAAGTATAAATTGTCCGATGAAAGCGTAGGTCCAGAGATAAACCCGAGAGGAAGAGAGAGAGAGAGAGAGAGAGAGAGAGAGAGNAGAGAGAGAGAGAGAGAGAGAGAGAGAGAGAGAGAGAGAGAGAGAGAGAGAGAGCGGATACTGTAGACGGTGAAAAAAAAGGAAAAGCAAAAATCAAAAAAAATTGCAAGTGCTGACCGCGACCCTTTTTTCGCTCTTTGCCTCTTCTTTCTCATTCTTTATTTATTTTGTCGGGGGCCCAAAAATACACACTCGATTGAGATATTATCGATGCTCTTCTCTGCTCGAACGATCTTCGATGCGCATATGAGAGTCGTTTTTATATACAATCGCTGTGGACCGATGGATCGATTCTTTGTTTTTTTATTTAACCTGATGCTGCAGGTGTAATAGAGAGAAATTCGATTATTTTGCACCTCGGATATTGGTAAAATTCACAACTGAATCTTCTAGAAATTTATTGTTTTATTCACTGAATTTTCATAATTGACATTTCAGTTTATAAATTATTAACTCTTTTCCAGCTCTGGTCACGCAGAATGACATTTTTTTATAACTTTTATTTTTTTTGTTACAAGTACAATGTTATTATAAAATTGTCTTATTTTTCATTAGACAAGTAATCAACATTGTAATTTCTATATACATTAAACATAGTCTTACTTTGTTTTCATTGATTTGGTTAAACTCTCCTTTCATGACTTGTAAATATTGTCAAATTTGATTTGGTTAGTTCAATGTGTAACATTACTACGGCGAGATTAGTCGTTGGAAAAATTTCAAGTGATAAACATGGAATCCAACGGCGTATTTAACTGGGCTATCAGGTAATTTTTGTTTCATCGTAATGGAAAATTGAAAATATTAAAGATTGATACTCAATCTTATTCTATGCATTTCAGAGTAAAAACTGAGCCTTGCCATGAGTCACTTTTGGAAAACAATAGTAATATAATTGACAAGACTCGAGATGGGCAGGATGTTCAATTCTCAAGATTTCTGCGAGAAAATCCAGTAAGAATTAATGAATATATTCGACTCATATGGTCGATATTTTAAACTTAAATCTTATTCACAGAACCACGGGTTTCAAGAATATGACGGAATGTCTGAACCTCGTGAAGACATGGAAATAGTTTTGGAATGTCAAGATCTGAAGCCGAGTTTTAATTTATTGGCAGTTCAGAAAATCGAAGACTACTCGGAAAACTTGCACAATACTAAATATACTCGAGATTATCCAAATAAAATTAAAATAGAAAATATGGATGGAGTGAAAAAAGAATATTTCGGTAACGTTTCGGAAGAATCGAGTTTGAATTTAAACTGCGAATTTAGCGGGCAAAATGAAAAAAATAGAATTACAACGGACCTCAACGACCAACAGAGATCAAAAACCCACATCAGTCCGATGCATAGTAGTTCTACCCACGCATGTAATGTTTGCGGAAATAAATTCTCAACTAAGGGTAATCTCAAAACTCACATCAATGCAGTGCACTTAGGTGTCAAAGTTGCATGCGATGTATGCGAAAAGACATTCACACAAAAAAGTGATCTCAAAAGACACATAGATTCGGTGCACAACGGAATCACACATGCATGTGATATTTGCGGAAAAAAGTTTTCAACCAAGAGTAATCTCAAAACCCACGTGAATATGAAGCACATTGGTCTCACCCAAGCATGTGATGTCTGCGGAAAGAAATTCTCAAACAAGTGTAATCTCAATACCCATATCGATTCGGTACATAATGTGGTCAAATATGCATGCTACATTTGCGGAAATAAATTCTCAGCCAAGTGTAGTCTCAAAACTCATATAGATTCGATGCATAGTGGTATTACCCACACATGTACTGTTTGCGGAAAGATATTTAAATGGAATAGTAAACTTCAAACTCATATCAATGCAGATCATAATGGTGTCAAACATGCATGTGGTATTTGCGGAAAATCATTTTCACGAAAAGACCATCTTAAATCCCACATCGATTCGCTTCATCGCAAAATCACTCATAAATGTGATATTTGTGAAAAAATTTTTTCAGGCCGATCTTACCTCCGGAAACATGTTAATGTGCTACATAGGGGTATTGTGTATGCACGTAAAACATGTGAGACTTGCGGAAAGACGTTTATGAAAATGAATAATCTTAAATTCCATATTGATGCAGTACATATAGGTGTCACGCATGAGTGTAACACATGTGGAAAGATATTCAAATACAAGAGAAGTCTCCGAATCCATATTGATTCGAAGCACAATGATGTCACGCATACTTGTGATGTGTGCGGAAAGAAATTCACACAGAAGAGTCACCTCAAAAGACACATACATTCGGTACATAATGGTGTAACCCATGCATGTAATATATGCGGAAAAAAATTTGGACAAGAAAAAAATCTTAAAGCCCATGCAGTTATGGCACACTTGCATTCACGCAATCTGCATAAGTAAATGTATAATACCTATATTTATTTTTAATTTCGTAAAAAAATCTTACTCGAAGACTTAATTTTAAATATGACAGATACAAATAACAAATTTGTGCATGCAACAATTATTAATCGACGCAATATAAGTGACTCAATATTTTTTGCTCAAAACAAAAAAAGTTATTGGATAGATAGATCATTAATAAAAAAATTGTATGTAATTAACATAAACGATTGGATTCATTGCATGCACACCTAGTGTTCATTTTTGATTCAACATCAATAAACCCAACAGCTGCTCAAGATAAAAAAAAAAGTTTCAGACCGAAGAAATCGTAACTTTGCTCTGCGCGATAAGCGATTCTTCTAAATTCTCACGTTGAATCACAGCTGTTTAAAAAGTTCAATCGCAATAATTTTTCCCACTCGTTTGAGATTAACACGATACGAGTTTTATATAAAAAAATAAACAAATAAACAAAAAACATAGCAAAATGAAAAATAGCAAACTCAATGTGAAGTTATCGTTCTAAGGTAGAATGTCCGAACGTAGGTAATATGCATAGACGCAATTACACGGCGAACTTATCTCAGAGCTCGGATCTAATTATACACATGATCGAGCACCGCGGTAAACGAGGCTCGGCAATGAGAGCACAAATCGATTTAAGGATAATGCTCGCCTACAAAAATATTTCAATTTTGTTGTTGTTGTTTCTAGAAAATCGAGAGATCTCGGATAAAAATCACGATCGAGCGCAGGCTTAAAATAAACTCAAATACAAGCGAGGAACGCAGCGTGATATTTATATACCTGCTCTTGCTGCTGGGCAATCTCGTCGTGTCGATGGGCGAGAGCTTGATGTTATCCGGCCAGACGGTTGGGCAGACCGGTGGCGACAACCAGGAAGACTGCTGGCCGCGCGGCAACTGTAACAAGGGCGTCTTCCTCGTCACGGATAACGATGGCCTGCCACCGGTGTTGTTTCCTCCTACTCCTCGCTTCGAGGCTGCAGGCACAAGACATTGAATGATACCGATTTTGTCATCAGTTATTATATAACGCCTAAACAGCGTTAAATTTTGATAATGCGATACGCGATCGGATTGCAGGATATATATTGATTTATAATTTTGGCATTAATCAAGCCTCGACAATGAATCCGCTCTCACCAGATATCTCGAGCAAATTGCTGCCGCAGTAATAATCCTGCTGCTCGGCGGCGAGGAACTGTATGGGGGTGCGACGCAGCGTGCTGAAGCTCTGCCTCGTGGTCGCGACGTACGGCACCGGGCTTACGATGATCTTCTCGTTGAACACGGTGCCAAGCTTGTTACGGCTGCTGCTCGGAGGAGGAGGAGGACTGCCGTTGGTTGGCGGCAATTTCGTGGTCGACGATGTCGTTCGCTCGGCAGCGCTGTAGTGATAATTGTTGCCGACCAGCGGCACCTTGTCGCTGGACTTGGGCGCCGGGCTGATGGTCAAGAACTCGTCGAGCTCTTGGGCGCAGCGGGCCGCCTCCTCCTGCGCCTCCAGACGTTTCTCTTCCTCGATCTCGGCCAGCTCCTTGCACACGAAGTCGACCAGGTGATCGAGCACCTCCTCCTTCGCTTGTCGTCGATTTACGGGCCTCGCCGCCGATGTCGAATGATTGCTCGCTTCCTGTGTTTACAGAAAGAGCCGATTTTAAATCGATGATCGCGTTCGGAAAAGCTTTGACCTAAATCGCATTATGCAGCTGCAACGAGGTTCAAAGCCAAGTTCGCAAAAAAAATCACTCTTGTTTGACGGGGTGAAAAAAAATAAGCAAAAATAATTATCTCGGCTTTCTTATTAAGCAAGTCAAGTTCGCCCAGTAATAAGTCCATGAGTTACGGCTCTCTAGCGAGCGAGCTTATCTTTACTAGTGATTTTATACCTTTGCATGTTAAAATGCGAAGGATAAAGCACGATTGTGTATACACGCGGGGTAGTAGGTGTATTGTGGCGCGCTGATGAACTTGGCGTGCAGATATTATATTATTTTAGCGCTGGCAACAACAGCGAAAATCACAGACATGAGCTATTTAATTATTCTCGCGTTAAAAAAAAACACAAGCAAGCAAGCAAGAGAGAAAAAAGTTTCCGAGGAAAAGTAGCGAGAAATTTTTGCAGAAACTTTGGGAACGACTTGTGACGTATCGATTAAATGGATCGATGAATCGTAGGTTTCAGGATGAAAAATAAGACGAGACTGGGAATTCTCAATGGCACTCGAAATTTTAGAATTTTCAATCGAATAATTCAAATGTTACCTATCGATTCTAATTATTATAATAAAATACAAAAAGATACTCACTTGAGAAAAATGATCGGAGCCTTGATATCTCGACTCTCCGTCGGGGTAAAAGTTCTCGGCGGGCGGCAGCATTCCCATCAATCCGTTGAAATCGTCCTGTCTCTCGGGCGATCGATCTTCCGCTGGTCTTTCCGCTGGTACCGGTGGCGATCGGCCGTCGCCGAAGCCGACGACGCGCAGATGCGGCAGCTGTTCGCGCCACTGCAGGCACTCGTCGAGCAGCGGGCCCCGGGGCAGCTGGTCCTCCTCCCCGTAGAGGCTGCGCTCGACCAGCAGCCAGTGCTGCTGTATGCGACGCGAGCTCGCCCCCACCTCGATGTCGTCCTGGGACCAGGAGCCACGCTCGGTCGTCTGCTGGCCCCAGCTCGAGCCGGCCGATCTGTCCTCGGCCTCGTGCTGAGCTATCGTCATTCTCCCGGGTCGATGTGACTCTCCTCGGCTGCTGCCGGGGCCACCACCACCACCAGCTTCTCCTCCTCCCTTTAGCTTTGTCGATCTGCGAAAATCGTGATAGTTTTTAATTTCATTTTTTGAACGACATTTAAAGTCAGTTCACCACGCGATTTTTCAATTTAATAAAACTCATTTAGAATCGAAACTATTTGTTCAAGTACGAGTAAGGACAAAAACTCTATCTTTACCATTACACGAAAAACTTTTAATAGAAAGAAGCAAGAACTCGCGCTCAAAGCTCACCTGCGATCGTGGCGGCGACTTTTTTCTTGCATGGCATACTTCTCGCGATCCTTCGGCTGTAATAGCGCGGTGTGCTGTTGCGGCCGTAAAATCGCTTCTGCTGGCACCTGCACGCTCGCGCACAACACACACCCCCTTTGTTAGATTAGCATTTCGCGCTCAAAGGTCAAGAGTGAAGCGAGAGAGATCCCTCCTCTCGAGCGGCGGAAAATAGGCGGCGAGCAGCAGCAGCTGTTTAGTTGTTGCGGCCGACTATTTTATGTGTATATTTATGGTAACGAACACACGCGCGCATACACAATACATACACTACACCCGCGATGCGGTGCTGATCGTTAATGTGCTTTTCTTGTTTACCACCGCCGTGGCCCCGTGGTCTATATATTGATTTTTTTCATCGACGGCCGTCGACGTCTGACTCGCGTGTGCGGCTGACTTATCTTTTTTCTCGAGGTAAAGTATCGTCCGTATTCAAGTTTATAAGACTGACACCACTGTGTACATTATAATATGAACCATTTGCTCTTCTTTCTTTTCTTTTTTTTATGACACGAACCAGCTCTCGCGATCGCAATCGATATAACGTCGCCGTCGTCGTCGTTGCCGGTTGCACTCGCGTCACCATGTGTGCATTGTGCTACACACAATTTCAAAACAAACACAACGCAGCTCGCTTATCGAGTCGCTACAGCTGTTGTCACTACGACTCTCAAATCAATGAACTTAGGAGCCGGTCGCATGACAATGCACTACAATCGGGTCGCGGTTATTTTACATTATTACACCGCGTCCGTTCGCCGATGATGAATAAAATGAACATCGTACTCCAGAAGTTCAAGGACGGCCGTGAGCTTTTGGATCATTGACGATAGCACTACACCGCACTTTCATGACTACACCAATGAGTTTCAGACATTTTCGATATTCGCGTAAAAAAATTGTGTAGACGCCTCCGTATTCGAGGAGCTTTCAATATACAATACGATTTATCCTTAGGTTTTGTTCGGCGTGGAGCTCACGAGAGCCTCGGCGCTTGCCTGTGCGTGACTGTACACCCTTGCGCGACTGCGTATGTGTACGAATAAAAAAGCTACTGCTATAACATATAGGCCTACCCCACCCCACAGCCGGCGATATTTGCTAAAAGTATCATTGAGAAATAATTAACCACGATCGTTAGATTTGGACTTTCGATGCAATCAAACGTGTAAGGAATTGGTTATTTTTACTACTTGTGCACCTATAAAAAAAGAGTAAAAATAAAACGACATCGATATCTTCAGAATTATTGATTTATCCACGAAGAAAATATCGATCTCGAACAAGCTTGTCGAAATTCGAAGCTGAAAAACGTTCATAAAAATTATCTAATTCATCAGCTTTCATATCTAATAGCGTGCTTCGTAATTCTAATAGAACCCAATTTAAAGTGACACATTTGTATACTTGCGAGTTGCGCGCCACATCCGTGTCGGTCCGTAACTAAAGACATCTGTTAGTCGGACTTGGCATTTACGACAAAAGCGCTCCTTATTGGTAAGAATTTAGTTGTTTACGTTTCGGCCGCGTGCCAATGTTTTCAGTATATAAGTTGGTCGTTGCTCTAAGCGAGTCATACACACATAAAACAACGATTCTAAAAACAACAAGTGCCCGATATTTGACTCGATTAAGTGATTTTCATTATTTGTCTCGTATATTGATAATTGAATACTTCGATTCGACGTATATTGACTACTCAACATGGCAATGCTGCCCCAAGAAGAAGCCTTTGACACAGTAAGATTTTTATCGTTTATTCACTTTTGTCATTCTTTTTTTATTTTATTTGGTTTCGTTTATTTACCTTTACTCGACTTTGATTTAATTTTTTACAATTTCATTTCTAGTTTGAAGATGAGGAGAGCGAGATCCCTCCAGGAGCCCTAACTAGTGCACGGAAGAGACTTTTCTCCAAGGAGCTTAGATGCATGATGTATGGTTTTGGCGATGATCAAAATCCATACACAGAAAGCGTTGACTTGCTAGAGGATCTAGTTATTGAATTTATAACAGAAATGACACATCGGGCCATGGAAATTGGCAGAACTGGTAGAGTACAAGTAGAAGATATCGTCTTTTTAGGTACGGTTATAAACCACTGGAATTCATAATACAAAAGAGTTTTTCACTTCATTGCATGTCATTAATCTAATTTTGTTTATTTCAGTCAGAAAAGATGCTCGAAAACATGCTCGAGTTAAAGATCTTTTAACAATGAATGAGGAACTGAAAAAGGCTAGAAAAGCTTTTGATGAAGTTAAATATGCAGGTAACGTTATAGATCAATGATACCTACAGTGTTTGTATTTTGTACTTCGTCAATCTTGTATTCTGTTTCATTAGTTTCTAGTAGATTTATTTTATGTTTTATCAATGTTTCTGTATACTGTTATAGGCATGTCTTTCAAATTTTTATATAATTCATGAAATGATATGATATAATTAATTTTATAAAATTTTAAGAATTTTATTCTTCTTTGAAAATTTTTTTATTTACAACCATTCTAAAAAGTAATATTTAAAATATTAGTCAATTCATTTGATCCTTCCAAATCTATTCCCAATAAGGCCTTTATATGGTGCATGTTGGCATGAGTTAGTAGTTAGTTAAAAATAGTTAAGCAATTTGCGAAACAGCCTGTTTTGCTGACAGAATAACATCGTTGATGCCAACTCCATGAAAAGAGGAACCACAAAGTGCCATAGGAAGTTTATGGGCAGAGATATAGCTTTCAATTCGTTGCAACCTTTGGACATGGCCCACTACATATTGTGGAATGCAGTCTTTCAATACAGACACATTATGTTCTATTGGATCATCTTTAATGCCCAGTATTTTTTTGGTTTCATTCACTGCAACTGATAAGAAGTGTTCATTTGTATTATTATCAGCGAAAAATTTGTCAAACCATGCTCCACCCATCATAACTGTTAGTACCTGGAATTAAGATTATAATTTAAAGTATTATTATTACACAATGTAAATGTACTTCTAATATTTGACATAAATAATAATTTAAACATTATAAGTTAAAATGATAAAATGATTTAAATACTCACTGTATTTGAATTTTTGAATACACATGAGTCAAAAATAACTCCCAAAATTGGAGAATTTTCTTTTGGTGGTACTAGAAAGCCAAAAGCTTCCAAAGGTAAAACTTTTCCTTCATAATGAAGATTAACAACAGCCACTGTAGTAGAAGGTATTGCTAATAATTCTCTTGATAATTGTGGGTGTTGTCTTTCTAACAATGGTGCAAGATATTTTGCAGATAAACTTGAAATTAATTTACAATACTTTTCTGTTTTTCCATTTATTAACATTTCAACTTGGCCAGGCTTAAACGTTATTTGTTCGCACACTGAATTTTTATTTATTTTGACTTGATTATTAGAAAGTAATTTATTTTCTAAAGCTATTGGAAGCTGTTGTAAACCACCTTGTAATCCCCAAACAGACCATTTTTCTTCTTTCGCTCTGTGCGCTAATGATGATTTATCATTGTCATTTTCAGTTTTTTGAGAACTTTTGGGTGAATTAAATGATTTGAGCAACATTCCTTTTACTATAGAACCATATTTTTGTTCTAATTCAAAAGCTGGCTTTAGTAAAAAGTTAACACTTATTTTCTTAGCATCCCCTGCACAAATCCCACAAATCATAGGACTTATTAAATAGTCTGCCACATCTTTGCCCAATCTCCTCTCTACAAAAGAATAAATGCTTTCATCCTCTTTCTGAACTTTAGAGGCTGTAATTTCATTCCATAAAACTGATATCAAACGTCTCTCAAATGGCGTATTAACTTTGAACAAGCTACTGAAGGAATTGGGTAACAAATGTAATTTTTTGTTAGCATAAATTAATCTATTTTTGGCAGCTGGATGTGATGAATTTATTGGAATAACTTTACCATTTAAATTTAAACTATCAACAAGTTTCAATGTATTTTCTCCAGCAGGACCGAATGGTCTGACAGTTCTAGGGCCTTCTTCAAATATTACACCGGTAGGCGATGATGTACTTTTTATCCATCCTCCAAGTCTGTTGGATGCCTCAAATAAAATTGTAGATCCGATTCTTGGATTTTCAAGGCAGTAATAAGCTGCACTCAATCCTGATATACCTCCTCCTAATATTGCTGTCATTTTCTAATATAATTAATTCAAACTAATTGTAAATAATTTAAATCACAGTTTTTTGAAGTTGAAAACTATGTAGAAAGATCTGTATTTAATATTTTTTTTTTCTACAAATAAAATCTTTTACATTTAAACAATCAAAATTCATAAGTTGTATTTTTAAGCATACACAACAAACTTATATTTTTGCACAAAATTGAATAACTCTCGTATCGGTTCTTTAACCTAAAATTCCACGCAGTCGTATGTTATTCGCAACTTGAGCAGAAGACTATCATACACTCGAACGGACTCTAACGTTGGTGTTGCTTGGGAATGTTGGGATAGTCTGACAGCTCTGACTTCAGAGAGTCCAGGCCTTTGGCTATTTCGTGACAGTCGTCTGCTACGAGCAAGACACCGCACCGTTCGTGATACGGCTCATTTGATTTCGCCGATATCAGTCGGGCTCACTTTTTCCAAATTCGAAAGCCAAATCGCAACGCGAGAATGTATAAAATTGATTGGATAAAAATAGACGTTTTGAATGGACGATGTGCGCCAGCGGCATAATTTGCTTGGACTCGACCAAAAGAATGTCACGTTCACTCGGGAGCCAGCGATCCGTTCAAAACACATATTTAAATGCAAGACCGCAGCAGCAATGCAACCAATACGTCTTTCAATAGCATGCATAATTTCGACTATTTTCTCGAGCGAGGATACGTTTGTGTGCGTGTACGTTTCAGTTTTACAATATAAAAACGGAGTTTCTAATAGAATTAAATAAAAGTTATACAAGAGTCTTTTTGCAGCTAGATTAGTATCTTGTTTGGCTTCGCTGTTCACGTTGAACACCAGGCAGTGGCAGTCTCTTGTCTGAATCGGTGTTAATTACAATTTTACGCAGTTTTCGCCTCTTTTTTCGCAAACATGAAAGACGGTAGCAGATTACTACGGGTACTTTTAAAAGTATCCGAAAAAGCAGCTAATATTGCTCGAGTTTGTCGGCAAGATAAAGCATTGTTTGCTCTGCTCGTTCAAGAAAAATCGGCTGCCGAAAAAAATCCCAGATTCTTTCAAGATTTCAAAACACTAGCGGACGTGTTAATACAAGAAACCATAAGACATGACATTGGAATAGAGGTAAGCATATCAAACATCTATTGTAATAAAAACATTTATAAATTAAGAAATAAATTTTTCAGTTTCCTGAACTATCTGGAGCCGTAAAAGGTGAAGAAAACAATGTTTTTAGCAATACTTTAGGAGAAACAATTACTGTGGAAGTGTGTTCTAGTCAAGATGAAACAGCAGCACTTTTGAAAAAAGTCTTGGGTAATGATCAGCTGGCTGCTGAATTGCTCTCTCAAGAAGTGCATAGAGACATTTCACTGACAGATGTATCTGTGGATTCTAAAAATTTACCAACAGATTTGGAAGTTCAAATTTCAGACTTGGGAATATGGATAGATCCCATAGGTATTGATAATTGTTTTTTTAAACTCACAAAGAGTTACGTTAATTTCATGTAGTCTAGCGATTATGTTTTAAACCTAGATTCAACAGCTGACTATATTCATGGAGGAGAAGTCATAGATGAAAAGACTGGACTTCATGTGAGTGGACTACGATGTGTTACAGTACTTATTGGTGCATATTCTCAATGTTCAGGCTTACCAATCATTGGGGTCGTTAATCAACCATTTTATAATCATACAGATGATAAGTAAGTAAAAATATGTTAAAATTCAAATTTTAAACATTTCTGTAATTTTAATGTTTTCATTTAAAGATGGAAAGGCATATGCTATTGGGGATTTTCTAATGACGATGTATCTATATGTTCTATCCGTAAAAATGAGGACTTCATTGGAAATAGTGAAATAGTTCTAATAAGCAGATTTGAGAATCCCAGTATAAAATCTAAATTAGAGGAAGCTAATTTTAGAACAGTTGATGCAGCCGGTGCAGGATATAAAATTATAAGTGTCGCTCTGGGTAACGCTGCTGCTTATGTACTTTCAAGAGGTTCAACCTACAGATGGGATGTTTGTGGCCCTCATTCCATACTTAAATCACAAGGAGGAGGAATCCTAGATTTCAACAAATATACCAGTGGAGAAGATCACATAAATTCTACAATTAAATATTCTGTTATTGAATCTGAAGCTTCAAACGAAGGTGGTTTAATTGCATTTGGAAATTTTGAAACTTTAGAAAATTTAAAAAAAGCCTTGTGTTAAAATTTTATTTCAAATGAGTTACAATTTCTAATTTATTTTGTTTAAATTTAATTGTATTTCTAATAAATGTTACAAGAAATGTTAATCACACTCGCTGTATTTAATTGAAATTATATGTTACAAAAAAGTAAATAAAAAGAATCTAAATTAATGTCTCATCAATACTAATGTACAAAAATCATTTTTTAATTTCTTCGTAAATGTTTGTAAAATCATAGTGTTTGTTTTATTCATATAGTTATAAATTTTTGAATATCTTTTATTCGTAAAAATTCTCACCAATTTTTTATTGATTAACACTTATGAATTGATACTAAATACTTATTGAAATTACAAAAAAAAATTGCTCACTTTTTGAAGACAGTTTCAAAATAAAATTCATTGTACTACTAATTTTTGACTATCAAATATAGATTATTTTTTAGATATTTTATATTTTCCTATGTCGCTAACGCGGAAACTACTCAACTCTCTGTGGCTTCATACGCATTTGAAACAAGCGTCGGCAAAGTAGAAGTTACTTACCTCACCTAAAAAACGTTGAAATTCATGACTCGGTGTTTATTGTTAAATAGACTATTTGATGGAGGTGTTTGAAAATAAATTCTGATGATTTGTTTTAATTTCGAAAATCATCGTTCAATTGATTAAATGAGAGTTTAAAAAGTTCATCGAAATCTTGGATGATTGTTCAATTGAAACGTAAAAAAGAGCAAAAAATAAGATAATGTGTTAAATGGTTCATTGGATCCATTCAGTGTACTGAACTTAAAGAAAATTGTTTAAAGTTTCCAAACTTCAGAACAATCATGAATTTGCAGGTATTTGTAAAAAAATGTAAATAAATTTAAAAAATCCACAATTTCATTTTTTATTTCGTAACAACTTTTATAATTATTTGTAAATTTAAATCACAGATATCAAACGAATCCTTAATCCTAAATACTTTGAGTTAAAATTACGAACTAAAAGAACAACAAAACAACTTCAATACTTTATACAGGTTCTTCAGCCTGGGTGCCCAGATGAGCGTGTTGCCTTTGAACGGATATCGATGTTATTCTAATTGATTCATTGTTGCAACGAAAACTAGCGCTTCGGGCGGGTTGTGTAACATTATTATTATTAAATGTTCGGATGTATGTCGTGCAGGTATTAACTCTCCTCAATCCGCACTGATTTGGATTACCTTGGCCTGGAATCATATAATTGATTGAACATCTATAATTATGCAATTGAACTTGGTTTCTGAAAAGCAAATAATTTTTTGATCTCTATAGATTGGCAATAGATAAGATTATTAAATAAATTTAAGAAACTTTAACACCTAATTAAAAAAAAAATTGGACTGTCAAGGTCATCGTACAAAACGGTAAATTAAATTAAAAGCATAAAGACTACCGGTTATCAGCTGGTATAAAGTTTCTTTGAGGGAGTAACAGCATACCTCCAGCTGCGCTGGTGTAGTTGACGTTATCGCGATCGCGGATCCTCAGGCGTATGATGGGCAGTTGCTTCAGCACCACGAAGAAGCTGCTGCGAAATCTAGAGTTCAGCCAGCAGTAAATCACAGGATTGTAGCAGGCGTGAGACATGGCCAGCCAGTGGAGACATGCCCATAAATACGGCATGCCCTCCCACGTGTCGATGCCGTTTTCCTCGCGGTCGAGCAGCAGCTGTGCGCAAAAATATATCGGTCGGAAAATGAGAAACTTTCCTTCTTTTTTTTTCGCAAAAAGTTTAATCGAGATATTCGTGTAATTAATTACAGTACCACGAGTATGTTGTAAGGCAGCCAACATATTGTGAAGACGATCACCACCAGTACCATCATTTTTATCATCTGAAAGTTAATCGATAAAATTATTGAGTTAATTTTAATCGATTATTAATATTCAATCGGTTTTCTGTGATTAATAATACGTATAAAAATTTAAATATGTATAATATCAAAGTACTAAAAAAAATGCAGTAACGATATCGTTTGAAGAAAAGTGCCAGTATTTAAAAAAATGGAGTGCTTGCAGGTAATTCTTTTATCCATTTCCTCTTGAGAAGTGAGTTGTCGCAAAGATATCATCCTCGTCGTCAAAAATTCAGTGCTTATAAAATACAGCCTGCTCGCAAATGCATTCTAGTTTCTAACCAGAGCAACTATACAAGAGAATGTTAAAGCCTTAAATCTCTCTTTGATGCTCCGAACGACCAAATGGATGTTACTTAAGTATTAACTTCGCATCAAGAATAATACATTCAACCTCTCCGCAGCTCTCGTGATTCTCGGTAATATTTGAGCCTACAATAGCATAAATAACTTAACACCTGGCTACTCTCTAACATCCATTGTTAATAAAAAAATTCAAAATTATTTTTCAACTAAATTTCGTGCCAAATTAATTTACTTGATTTAGTTATAAGACTCACACGTTGTTTTAATTATATTTCACGATTTCATTAGTATACCGTGTTGATATAGCCACTCGAGTCTTTGTTTCTTTGTCTTTATTGTCAGAAAATCTTAACGCCTTATTCCTCTGTGAGAGCGAGTCGACTCGCAGGCTCTCTCTCCGAGAGCCTGTTTAGTTATTTCCGTACCCTCTTTGTACAACCCAGCCACATTTAGCGAAGCTAAGGCGGTTATATTTCTTCGCCTCATATTTATTCTCTCGCACACGGGTATAGGGGGTTGTAAATATTTCTTAATAACGTAAGTTTTATTTATACCCAAGCTCTCGGGCTATTTTATTATTTTTTCATGAGAGAGAAAAGTGAGCGACTTATACGGTGAAACGGCATAAATTCATGGTATACGCGAGAGATGTGCTCGCGCGCGCGTTTTTACTAAATTAAGGCACCGTGTAAGAAGAAGAGGTTGCACAGGTTGAGATATTAGCTTTATTGTTTGTCGCGGTTAAATATTTACGTTATATACCGCAAGTGCATTACTCGCATTACAATGGAACTTATTTCGCTCGAGAGGAGTCATTTGGGGGGTGCCTTCGATAGAAAACGCTCGACAGAGTATGGCTCTTGTATAACTGCGTCGATTGAAAAAGAGTTTGATTTTTCTCTCCTGCAACCCCCGTCGAATGTCGAAATTGAATATTTTTTTCCAATTTCTCGCTAGTCGATTTTTTAAGCCAACTCGATTCGATTCGTAAAAGTTTCGTCACCGTAAGGAGATTGATTTTATATTTACTTTACGTATCTTCGCTAAAAGTATAAATTCAAATTTTAATAGCGCTACTTCCACGAGATCATAAAATTCAAGCTGAAAAAAGCTAAATTGAAACTCGCATGTAAGACTTCAGCGAGATATGTTTTACTAGGTCTCCGTGAACGGAAAATTAATTGACTTTGAAGTAAAATCAAAAAAGTTATAAATGCATAAATTAGTTTCATTTCTTTCGCATTATGCGTAAAAAAATATTTGAAAAGACAATAAGGTTTCCATCCATGTATATAGTCGAGGGCGAGTAGGGAGAACTTTTGCAAAAGCCAGGGATTTTATCCGATGCCGAGAGCGATCGGAAATAAAGACGTCACGTTATAGGAATGTATAATACGTACACGGCCGCGCGCGCGCCGGTTCCAATATTAATGTCGCGTGCATACACGGCCACGCGAAAAAACAATAAATTCGTTTTCCTGCGCTCTATATTTAGCTCCTATGAATGTTATATTTACTCGCTGTTGGCGATTAATTATTCATGTATGTGTGTGCCGCGAGTTAACGTAATCGGTCGTTCGCATCGCGAAGCTGAAGCCTGACGCGCATCTCAGGATAAAAATTACAGAGCGACATTTTTCCCGATAAATCGTGATAAATTACAAGAGTTTTTTGAAAACTTAATGACGCGCGTAATTTTGCTGTAAAAGACAGTTGTGTGATCCATCGTTACCTTCGCGCGCATCGTGCGAAGTTATCGAATCGCCCCGGAGTTTACGGAATACGTAATGAAACATTCTCGACGCACCACCACCACCACCCCTTTGATGTAAATGATTCTTCTATGACAATAATGTAATAAGAAAAATTTCTTCGTTTATAGCCCTTCTTTCTTTTTATTCATAATTATACACTTGTCCTTGTTTCATTGAAGGGCTTTTTTAAATTAAAATTTAGTATTAACTTTTATTTGGAAGATGTTTTCAAAGCTCACTAAGCCTGAATTAAAATTTCTCCGTCCGCGAAGCTCTTCGTATTTTTCATTGACAGCCGCCACGAATGTAGTCTTCGCGCTCACTGACTGACTGACGCACTTTATATATGTATATAAAACACACCAAACAAGTGAGTGAGTCTTTTCTGCCTCTGGCTTCCGCGCATGACAGCTATGTGTTTTCCAGCTCGAGTAGTTTTCCGACTGGGGCGCAACGGAGAAGTTTTGCTCGAAAGATAGCTGGGAGATTCGAGATTCTTTGCATCGGATGTGCAGTTTGCCGCGCTGCTGCCGCCACGGGCTCTGCGCGCCGCGACATACATATAATAACGTCCCTCGTGCTACTGCGCTGAATGCACTGCTGCCCCTGGCTCCAGCTTGACTCTGGCTTTTCTCTCTGTGCGTTAATTTTTCACAATGCCACCAAGGACCGTTTCTCAATTTTAATTCGTAACAGACGCGCGAGGGTCTCGATAAAAATTTACGACTTCTCAATTATTCCTGTGCTTTTGCCGCCTCGCGCACACCGCAGTAGTGCCTCGTATTTTCTCAAGGTCGTGGAAAATTATGAATTATGTCAGGCTGAAGTGATTTATCGTCGTGTTAAGAAAATGAAACAATTTTCCATACAGAAGCAACGTGTTTGTGGTTTTAACTATCTCTGATTAAACTCGTTCAATTAAATCGAGAAATAATAAAAAAAATTAACAAATGAATAAAGATGACACCCCGAATAGAACAAATTCAATAATGCAAATAAAAAATACACTACTAACGCCTTGTGATATTTATTTAACTCATATAGACAGCTTCGACCAAGTGGAAAACTAAACAACGCTAAAAGCGAGAGTATCCCCCTTCGAAACGCTCGGCGGTAACGAGTCGTCAACTCGTTCTGAGAAAATTAAACAATTCGCGGGAATAAATGAAAAAACTTTTGTGCAAACCTGTGCACAGCTTTCAGGATAACGAACTTTTTCAACAAATTTTCAAAACATCGTCACGAAATCTCGACGCGATGAAAATTTTCATCTGTTATCCCGTTAATACTCGCAGTCGCATAAACAACGGCAACAAGTCGGTATAAGTCGAAAGCGGATTTGTTTATGTTTATAAAAATCGAAACTTACATTGTAACGAAGATTTATAAGCTTTAGAGTTTGGTTTCGAAATTAATGAACAAATCGCCGTTATACTTTTTGTTTCGATAAATTTTCATGATTAATTAAATGTACAGCAACTCTCAGCTCGAAACTTTTGTAAAACGGGAAAGAGTCAGTGCAGAATATAATTAAGGACGTTGAATATACAAATTATGAAATTAAATGGCAACGGGTCACTTTTATTAATATTTACAACAAAAAAAGTTGTGCACTAATTGAGAGACAAAATAAAGATGATTATAATTACGTTTTTTATTGAATGAAATTTTTGTTTTATTTTGTAATCAATTATTAAGAATGCAAGTACACAGACTTTATGTGTCTGAATGATCATTTGATAATTAAATCCTTGAAAAAAGAAATATAAAATTAAACATTTTTTTCAATAATTTGAATTGTTGAAAGTTTTATTACCTTTTTTTTAGATCGAGCAAAACGTTCATCCCGATTGTTCTCGGCCTCTCCTGGTGGCTTGTTGCCCCAAACGAAAATTGCAATAACCGAATACGAATGCACCAGTATACCGAGTGGAAATGCATACTGCAGTATTAACATCATCGTAGAATAATGGAACCTTGAAAAGAGAACAAAAATTAGTTTTTCCTTCATCGTCGTATGCCATATGAATTTCATTATATGAAAAATTATTATTGACTGGTTTTGGAAATTTAAAATGATGAGGGAGCAAAATTACCTCCTCTTGGGATCCTCCCAGTTTTCCATGCACATGGCGAGCTTGCAGTACTCGTAGTGCTCGCTCGGCGCTTTGAGGCCGGAGACCAGCACGATCGGCAGGGAGATGCACAGCGCCAGGACCCATATGGCCAGTATGAACTGGAGCGCGTGAGACTTGCTCAGTCTCGGCTTCAGCGGCCAGACGATCGCCACGAAGCGATCGACGCTGATGGCGACCAGAGTGTAGGCACTGACCAGAACCGCGACCGCCTGCACGCTCGATTATAAAAAAAATATATATGATGAATACCTTTTTTCCAGTTCGGATATAGTAACTTATTTACAAGTCGATAATATTGGAGCCCTTCATGAGAGCTATAATTTCTTTCGATAGAATCTCGAGTTAAGAGAGGAAAGTACTCGAAGAATCAGTAACTAAATTTGCATTTCGTTCGAGATTAAAAATTATGCTCTTTACAAACTTTTAACGTTAAATACATCCAAGCCAATGATTACAGATGATGTAATGCAAGACTCTCTCAAAGTTTTTCGGTATCAGAAAATATGTTAATTGGAATATGACATGCTCTCGACAAAATTTACGTTCAATACGAAGTTCTTCGCGAGCAGCTTCTTCGTTCGAACTGTTTCAAAGTTTCAAGCAAGCCACTGGGGGCGATCGTAAGATTACACGAGGCAGCGCAAAAGAATCAATCTTTTACCTGCAAGTAATTGACGACGGGACAGAGATGGGGCCCGAACGGCCAGTACTGCAGAGTGAGGGTACTGACGAAGCTCGTCGGTATGCAGAACAGGGCGATGAGTATGTCGGCGATGGCGAGATTCACGATGAAGTAGTTGGTGACGTTACGCATGTGCGAGGCGCAGCAGACCACGTAGCAGACCAGGGCGTTGCCGAACAGGGCCAGCACGAAGATCACCGAGTACATGACGTAGGCCAGCGGCTGGTAGCTGCCCAGCGCGTTCGCCTCGAGGATCGAGCGGCAGTCGTAGTCGCTCAGATTACCGTAGAACAGCAGCAGCTCGTCGTCGTCGTTGTCGCCGACGCCGATGCTGTCGTTCATTTTGGCCGTGCAGCAGCAACAGCAGTCCTTAACTGTGTTCAATCTGAAAGATGCATCGAGTTTTTTTTATGGATTTGACGATTCCTGCTCGTGATGTACATGCTCAAAATAATAATGGCTTAAAAACGGAAAAAGTACCATCCTTAAATGTTTCCAAATACAGTAGCCTAAATAAGCTTATTTTTTTCTATTTTTCTGATACGTAACGAGAAAATTTTGTTTCAATGGGAAAAATTGATTTTTGCATCTCATAAGTCGTTTTAAGTGGGATCGACTTCGATGGAAAAAGAAAAATGCATTTTCATTAGCACATTCATGCGGAATTCATTTTCGTGTTCGTTTTCCCAATAGTTTTTAGAAGCTTCGAAAAATGCATGTAAATCGAAAAATTTGACAGGTATGTTTATAACATTTTGGGATCAATTATCAAATCGTAGTTTTGATACTGAGATACGTAGAATTGATACTCTATAGCTAACCAAGTTGAAACTAGCCAACTGGCAAAAAGAGAAAGTCTACTAAAGAAAAGTCACAGAAATATTAGAATGATCGGCCCAGGCGTACGCTAAGTGGTTTAAAGCATACGCCTCTGACATCAGTGGAGTGGTTCGAGGTTTGATTCTTGGTGAAACCATTTTAGGGCCTGGTAAAATTGCTGCAGGGTTGTGATAAAATTATGGCAAAATTATCGATTTAGTTCGTTTCCCATAGTTTTCCCATAATTCAAAAATCCCGTTTAAAAAAAAAAAATTATGGGAAAACTATGGGAAACGATCTGAATCCATAATTTTGCCATCATTTTTCCATAATTTTACCACAGTTTTATTTCCATTAAGTTTGGAATATTAAGCTCATTTTAAATGACCTGGAAATGTGAATGTGATTAAAAAAAAGGCTATTTCAACCATGAATGCTACCTTAAGTCTCTTCCACTAGATGGCGAATACCTATATCTGAAAACCTGCAAGTGGCAAAATCAAAATAACTGTATAACTCGAAGTTCGAAATTAAATTGTATGATGTGGGTATGATTTTTGTATGTCATTTCTTCTGTTTTATTTTTGGCTTTGTGGACGTTGAGCAGCGCTCCCGAACTGTCAATAATTTTAGTTGGTCGAAAAAAAACATTTCACATTCAACAATCAAAGTATTCTTATTCCCATGATTGATTCTCTTGGAAAGCATATTTTGAAAACATCATATATGATACTCGGAAGAATCGTTCCATCCTCTCATCAATATACTTATATAATATTGATTTAATTTTCAATGCAAACGCATACTGAAACTACGCGCACGCGGCGAACAAAAAAATAGCTTATTTATACAATGGCGATGTTTCTTCAGCGCTGCAGCAGTAGCAGCACGCAAAGATAAATGTGTTTAACGGTTACGCATATACGCGAAGTATAAGTAATGGAGCAAATTGTGTATTGAATCACCGTCAGGTATAGATATAACGCACGCACACGCAAAGAGATCCTCTGCCACGAGAGTGAGAAAATAGATCGTGTTATGTATAAAAGCAGAGAATTTTATATTATCGAGCTGCGATTTGTTCGCTCGCTGGCAGTTACCATTGGCTTCTAAAATTATAATGTGCACCCGCGAGTGCAGCAGCTCACGATCTCACAAATTGCATCGATGACGGTAGAATAGGCACGAGATGAGCTACTGCTGCTGCTGCATATAAGAAGTGCACCTAATGTGGCGGAAAGAAAAAGCGGCGCAGGTCCCGAGCGAATTGCAGCCGGGCTATATAAGAGATGTATCGTTCGTAGTATCCTCGGAGTCAGCAGCAGCATATGCGCGGGGAGCCTGAAAATTAATAATTTGCCAGCCTCTTCCGGCTCGATGTCCATTTGGAGAGTATAACCACCGAACGCGCACGCGAAATCTATTCCGATTTCAATTGATATAATTTGGCTCTTTCAATGATGCTCAATGAACGATCGAGGGCTGGCCTCTCTGGTGTGTTTTGTGTGTGTGTGCAGCGCGCGCAGTACTTTGTCATATGTCACATTAATCCGTTCGTTTACATGCTGCTGCTCGCCCTCCTTCCCTCCCTGCCCTCGTGCAAACGTCAGCGACGCGACGCATATTACTTGCCTCTCTCTCTCTCTCTCTCTCTCAGTTTTTCTTTGGCTATGTATTTTATATATTTATTCACGCACTGGATATGCATATCACGCTAATGTATAAGCGCATTTCAGTGTTTATAAATTTAACACAATAGTTCGTTCGCGAATATGCGTGTATAGTTCGAAATTATGTTATGAATATAATTTGCAATTTAAGGCGATGCCAAAAGCAGTGCACCGCGCAAGGGAACCGTGAAAATTTTCAGAACACGTTCTCGCGCTGAATTATATTGGAAAAGCTCCGAATCAGAATAACGCACATCAGCTGCGCGTGCATACGTTTATTACCGAATACATTTTAACTATTCGACACATTACAGATGCAGCGTGCAAACAATAGCGTGAAATTTGATTATTTAGTTTGTTTCCAAAATTCAAAAAAAAGTTACAGAAAAATGAACGAACTGTATCTCTGTAAAAAGCTGTACGAGATTGAATAGTATCTGAGTCATCGTCATGATTTTCATGCAAACATTGTCGGGACAATAAATTTCTCTCAACTTGTATTTTGAAAGTGGCTTTTTGATAATCTTTAATACTCGACTCTAAATGAAAATGTTACATGTCTCGGAATTCTTTGCCTTGTCAGTTGCCGCGAGAAATTTTGCAACGGTTGTAAGTAATTTTCACCATATTTGCAACGCGATTTTTCGTTGATGACCTAGTTTGCAATTTTTTTTAGCTACCTTCATAATGACATTAAAATTTTATTTATCCCAATACAGTTACGATTTAGATGCGTATAATCATAATTACTGATTTTGTTTTTTTTCTACAGAATTTACACTTCTTCGAAAAAAGTCATGTAAAAAAATGTAAGCCAGCGTAATTCAAAGCTTTGAAAAATCACCGAGCTTTAAATATTTGTCTATGATTATTTTTTTAGAGAAAAATTTCTCACTTTTAAATGTACTTTTTTAAAAGATTTCTGATGAATCTTTATTTTTTTTTTATTTTTTCGAGTCGCTAGCTCGCTCGAGCTCGCGGAGCTGAGCGATGATGATGTTGTGTGCACTCGTGTTTGCTCCCACTCTCTCTCTCTCTCTCTCTCTCTCGCTCGCTGTATTCAGTTTCTCTTATATTTACGGTGGCAGTGCGAGGACAAAGCGACAGAGAATCATCATTCGTAATCGCGTAGACGGGATTCATTGTTGTGTGTGTGTGAGTTGGTTGGTGCCCGTCGCGCGTAGTTTTTCTCTCCTCGTCGTCGTCGTCTGTCGCTGTTTGCTTTCATTTTAACCATATTATTATTGTCCCGAGAAATTAAAAATGATTGTGAGACCGATTTTTTAATCTCTCTGCAGCAGTGGCAGCAAAGTTGCGCGCGCGTCGTGCTGCGCGCTTTGAAAAATCGCATTCAAAGGCTCGTGGATTCGTTAAAAGCCTGCTCAAAGTGATTTAATTGTGTTGTTTCACTCGCCTGGATTAATAGCTGAAGAAAAGAACATGTGTTCGCGAGTGTTGGTTTGGTTTTTACTGTCGAGATTGACAGACATGATTTTTGCTGCTGAGAGGCCACACATCATTTTCATAATCGCCGATGATTTGGTAAATGAGCAAAGTTTGTATTCGATGTCCCCAACAATATCGCAAGCCTGTGTTTACACATTGAATAATTTTTTTATTCAAAATTTTGAAATTACCATTAAGAAAATAAAATCGACGTCAATTTTCATCGTCGAGTTTCTAACAATGAAAATATACCATAATCCGCAGGGCTGGAACGACGTCGGATTTCACGGATCAGGACAAATCCCAACTCCTAATATTGACGCGCTCGCCTACAGCGGCGTCATATTGAACAGATACTACGTCACTCCCATATGCACGCCTTCGAGGAGCGCCCTGATGACTGGAAAATATCCGATTCATACCGGCATGCAGCGTGGGGTAAGCTATATGCTCTGCCTGCGACGACCAGACGATCGCATATTGTTGTCGCTTGATTTTGCGCGCGCCCGCGCGCGTGGGTGACCGTATGCAATGATGTGCACTGATTTGACTTATTGTCAAAGCAGAGGCGACTTGTTTTGGACAATCATCGAATTAGATAATACGAGATTAGATATTTTTTTATTTATTACATTGACATTTGATGATATTTTAGGTACTGATGGGCGCAGAGGCTCGAGGTCTCCCTCTCAACGAAAAGCTATTGCCCGAATATTTAAAAGAATTGGGTTATCGTAATCACATAGTTGGCAAGTGGCATCTAGGCTTTTATACGAAAGAATATACTCCGACCTACAGAGGCTTTGAAAGTCACTTGGGATATTGGACCGGTCATCAAGATTATTACGATCACACGGCCGTTGAAGAGGTAACTCTCCTTATTATATCTCATTCTTTTTTATGACGACGGCTGCGCTGTCGTATAATAATTATATGCGAATGTAATTAAGCCGCGCATCCTACTTTTTTTTTCTCTTCCTTCGAATAAAAATTGTCTCTCTAGTTGGAGTCGAGAGAAAAGTAATTTTTCATTTCTAATTCATAACGATCCGACTTTTCGTCCCCGACGATGATCGTCGACGCAGCGTTACTGGGGCTTGGACATGCGGCGGAATCTGGAGCCGGCCTGGGACCTGCACGGCAAGTACTCCACGGACGTGTTCACGGGCGAAGCCGTCAAGCTCGTTCAGAGTCACAACGCCAGCCAGCCGTTATTTTTGTATCTGGCTCACGCGGCGGTGCACTCGGCGAATCCTTACAATCCGCTACCTGCGCCGGACAATGTCGTCGAAAAAATCCAGATACCCGAGTACAAGAGACGTCGCTTCGCTGGTACGATATGCACTTTAAACGAGTTTTTCATACTTTTCTATATATGAAAATGCGATTCGGATGTATATACGTATACTTGTCGGGCGCATAAAAAATTATCTGCCCGCGCGTATCGAACTGTTAACTCTTTTCCATGTTTGTTTATGCCACGCTTTTATATGCTTATATAGCTATGGCCAGCGTAATGGACACGTCAGTCGGCGCGGTGGTCGAGGCGCTGGAGAAAAAAAATATGTTGAAAGACAGTATAATCGTTTTTACGACCGACAACGGTGGACCCGCTCAAGGCTTCAACTTGAATGCCGCTTCAAACTGGCCTCTTCGTGGCGTTAAAAATACTCTCTTTGAAGGTTTGTAAAAAAATTTTACTTCGCTCTCTCGAGGAAGATGCGCCCTTTTATCATCGTCGTCGTGGTGCGTCGTATACGCAAAGAGTTTGTACTTACTTTATTCATTAAAAATTCCTTGAGAAGATAATGGTAATCGTTTGGAAAAACTTTTATCTTTACATTCTTACGAAACTCTCGTTTTTATGCTCTCTAAAAATTGTGAAAATTCAAAAATCTTTTCTCACTTATGCCACTACTTTTTTCGCACAGCATGAATGTTTAATTTCGGGGGTGCGAATATTAATTTTCAATTACTACTCTGCGAACGCGAAATTAAATACTCGTTGTTCGGCAACAGGTGGAGTGCGAGGCGTCGGATTGGTTTGGTCGCCACGTCTGTCGAATCCCGGCCGAGTCTCGAATCGACTGTTCTCGATCAGCGACTGGCTGCCGAGCCTGCTGAGGGCCGCGGGTGGCGATCCCAGCAACATCACGGGCATCGACGGTCTCGACGCCTGGCAGTCCTTGGCCGAGGATCGAGAATCGCCCAGAACGACGATTCTCCACAACATCGACCAGGTCGTCGGGGTGGCGTCGATCATGCAAAACGAGTGGAAGCTCGTACAAGGTAAAGAGTTGCCGCGGGTGTATGTAGCGTAATAAGTTACCTTATACGGCCACGCTCTGTAACATCAAAGGGAGCTGGGCAAGTTTGTACGCAAAAATTTCATTTTCGTGCTACTTTATTGCGGGCATTTTTAGCATGTATCCAACGAATTGAAAAAAGAATTTTGAATAATAAATGTCACGGAAAATTTCATCACTTTTTATTGTAAGTAGATTCAAAATTTTGGGTTACAACAAAGAGTAAAGTATGTGCTGCGTCGAGTAATTTCGGAAAACCAGAGAAATTTTCCGCGTTAAATTGGTACTACATTCGACAGACATGTAGTAGCTCTAATATCAATTCGTGTTGTACATGGCGCGACAAAATGTATACCTGACTGCTTACAGTCATAAATCATGCATTTAAATTTAAAATTAGTCGGCAGATAGCGGCATTAATTTACAACTGCTCGCAATGATTATTGTACACTTGTTTTTAATTATTTCTCATAATAACTTCGAATCCAAATTTCGAGTAGTCCGCAAATTCTTGTTTCAATTCTATCAACTTTGCGACTGCATGCGATCTATATAAAGAATTGTGTGTCAAATTGTGATCTCTCGTTTTGAGGGAAGGGTCACGTGACAAATTATGATTGAGCGATTGTAATATCCATCATTGTCAAGCGCAAGTGATGGCCAAATAATCCGTTAATATCTGTTATTGATCGATACAGGATCGGTCTTTAAAAAATTAGTTCCTCAAAAAAGTCATTAGCAAAGACGTGAATGGTAGGATCTTTTGAGACTCGAACGATTTCGAGAGCCCCGAGCTTTTCTTATCGATTATGCCATTTGAACGCCACGGTTTAGCTCATCAAGCACTACTCGATCTGAATTCTAAAGCCTGTAATTATTAATCAGTTAATTAACTTGCTGTAAACTTTGACCACGCGTTAAAATCGAACGAAAAAAAAGGAATAGAATGAAGAAGCACGTCGAACGCGCGCGTGAGATCAAAAGCTCAAAACTTTGCCGAAACTACGTTGTTGCGGTCATTGATTTTCGCGCCGACAGACTTCGCAGGGTGCAATATAATAAATAATGTCCCAAATTGAATATATATTTTCATTCTTGCCTCGGGCAACAAATATACTACTTTACAAGAGACTTTTTTCTGCTGCTGCTTCACGATGCAAGTTCAATTTTTTTCTCCCTCCTTCGTATTTCGTTTGTAATGTACTGTTTGACAAGAGCTTTTTCTATCCCCCCTTTCAGAACGTTATTAAATTTTCGAACGAATAACACAATGCGAGAGCGAACTTCGTCGCATATATATTATATACGAAATGATGTAGTTAATTAGAAACTGTCGTATTAATTTAATAGTAAGCAATCCATTACAATTACGCTGTCGCGCAAGTTCATATTCATTCGGAAAGTCCTTCCATACGTACGTGCGAAGATGAGAGATAAGAAAAAAATGGACGAGAAATATCGAACTCGCGGGCGAATCGATAAAAATTTCGTGACTTTTATCGATCTATGTACCGCATGCAGGCTCGACGTACGGCGGCAAATGGGATCACTGGTACGGGCCCGCGGGACGCGACTACAGCTACGACGTGGATAGCGTCGTCAGGAACTGCCCAGTGGCCCGAGCACTGAAGAGCCTCGGCCGGGGCTTGAACGCGACGATCGTCGGCCAGTTGAGGAGTCGAGCAACCGTAGAGTGTCCTTCGAATACGACGCAGCAGGCTTGCTACCCTTCCAAAAGTTCCTGCCTGTTCAACATTTTCCAGGATCCTTGCGAGAGACAAAACTTGGCTGCGGAGTAAGTATACCAGTGTATAGTAGTGGCGTATAACACGTGTGCCCCGTTCGAGCGATATTGCGCGGTTTGACGCTTCGTAATATAAACGATATGTATATAACTGTATGTACTGTGTGCAGTCACACGGCCTTCTACCAGCATCTTCTTCGTACATAACCAGGCGACGAGTATAGCAGTAATATCTCGAAGAAGTTGTCGTATATACAAGCGGTATATTCGCGTTTGAAATATCTAATTCCGAGCGATATTTGCAGCCGACTTGATTTATAAAGCCATCGTGTGCGGTGGCAAGCCCTTTTTATTCCTTCGTTTCTTTCTCTCACTCTCTCGCTCACTCTTTACGATAACATAATTTTGTTCGCGGATACTTTGATCAAGAATTTTTAATTTTTTTTTTCTGCTTTCGCCACTCATTAGACGTGCTTCATTGGATATGTCGTACGATTCGAACGAGAAAAGTACAAAGAATATAATGAATATTTTTTCAAGTTTTTTTTTAAGTACTTGTTTGATGAAAAAAGTCAAGAGTCTCGCGATCGATACTTGATAGTTTTAAGGATTTGACAAATCAATTACCGAAGACGCGCGCGCGCGGCTCACTTTCAAGAGAGCAAAGATAAAGGGAAAAGTTGGGGGAAATGAAAAATTATTTTATCTGTTTGTCCAGACACCCAGACATACTTCAAAAGCTCGAGGAGGAACTAGTTAAGCTCAACGCCACGGCGATACCACCGGGGAATCTTCCGTGGGACAAAAAAGGCAACCCAGCTCTCTGGGATCATACTTGGAATAATTTTGGAGATTATCAGTGAACTACTTTGGGAGCATAGAGTTTGATTAAATCAGGCTCGTCACTCTTTCCTTTGTGTAACAATTGAAACTGTGATTTCCCTCCTATATCTTAAGCCCGGAGAAAGTAATTAACGTAAGCTAATGTTCTTTTTATTTCTCTTTTTAATGTACTTTTTATTGTATTTTCTTCCGAATTTGGAAAATAAAAACATTTTTATTTTAAATCGATTTTACAATTTCCATTAGGCAAATTGTTATTTCTCCGATGAATATCAAAAAAGTTGTAACTCATGTATGACAATGCAGTAGTATTTTTAAAATAAAATACTTCAAAAAAAAGTAATCATGCTGTCTACCTGTGGATTTTACGCAGACTTTACAACGATGTAGATTATATTCCATGACATCTGGTTCAACGCGGGCTCACTCTGATGTTTTAAAGCACTAAACTTTTTCTTTGTACACCAGGATAGAACTGGCTCTATTTTAGAGCTTCTGTTACTGCTGCTGCTGCTTATGCAGGAAAAATCGGCACCACAATTCCATTGTGGACTCGTGGTACCACAAGAGTTTGCGCCTGACACTCGTATATTTTTCTTGATAAGCAACTTGACGGTCGCGTAGAGAAACTAACTGCAACAGTGTTTCAACTTTTTTTTTGTTCATCAAGATTTTTATACACCCCGGGCTGAGTTAATAGACACGTGTATTTTCCTTTGTTAAGTGAGGGTACGAAAATTCCCTCATCTCGAAAAAAGCCATTATCTCAAAAGGTTTTAACAAATTACACAGTACAAATTATAACAAAAAATATTGTGCAGCGGTTGGAACTTTTCTCAACTAATTACTCGAGGGTATTTACTTAGCGTCGCGTTATACTTTTTGTTCGCATAAATTTTATAACTGATTATATTCGTTCAACTTTGAATTAAAATTTTTTTGTATCATTGTGCCTTTAACAATCTTAAACTTCTCATAACTTCAACTTGTAACTAATTGTCGATGCAAGCACAAACTCGCTCACTAAAACTAACAATAACAAGACGTTATCTTCGAATCTCGCTGTAACCGCTAATAGTTTTTGGATTAACAATTAAGCTTGCGAAGGAACTATAACACTTTCTCGGCACGTAGTTCATCGCGGACTGATCGTAAGCTACTCCGTATTGCCTCGGTGCTGTCCCATGGAAAGCTCCCACGATTTTCGAAAGCTCACGCATGCGCCGCCACTCGGCGCGTATCGGACGCTTTTCGCGTGTATGTATACAGAGCTACTTCTCACGTCGACAGGATGTCCTTGGGATGTTCTTATAAACAGAAATGATTATTTCGCCCGAGGTTGAAATGTTAATAAACTTTTCAACCTAAGAAAAAATAATCTTCGTCACTCGAAGATAAAAAATTGAAAATTGAGAACAAAAAGAGTTTCGGTATATCGACGACTTGACGCGCGGTGCTTTATTCGATTAAAACGGGAGAATTTTTTTCAATGATATTTTTTACTCGCTCGATTTATCTTGCAGGCAATGATGATTATGTTCACAGTTCAATGCCCATTGCTCACGTGTACCAACGCGTACTACATCCTCGCTCAGGTATTAAAAATCTTTCCGTTTCATCTTTCATGGTAACAAAGAAAAATCGATCCCGCGCGCGAGCCAAACGTCTCTTACTCTTAGCTATCAATTCAGATAAAAATATGCAGGATGGAAGTTTACTCGGAGCTTTTTGCGTCTTTGCATCTACTTCTTCGTCGTGTAGGAATTATGTTTAAAGGAAAAGGGCATTACTTACAGAAAAAATCCCAGTGATAGGTTGACATATTTTTTTTGCTCTTTATTTTCGTGAAAAAGATGACATTCGCTAAATAGATAAAAAAATATAATATATATTCGACCGACTTGAATGTGTGCGAACATCGTTGATCATCTCGGAGTTTCATCCAATTTTTAAGTAAAATAGAACAATCAAACGTTGCTGAAATTTTTTTTAATTAAAGATTGGACGCCCCGAACAGTAACACAAAATGTACAATACATTTAAATCGATATATTTACACGCGTTCGCGACTCGCAAGTGATGACGATTTTGTTAACCTCGTATAGCGACGACGACGACGACGATGACGACATCGTCGAATCAAGGTGTTATAAGGGTTTCTCGTTATACAAAATCGTCGAAAGTAAAATATTGAAATCGTGCGCTCTCGACCGAATCAATTCGAGCGAAATTTCATTCTAGGCTTATCATCGAACCACTTTGGGTTTTCACTGCGCGAGAGTTAAATCAATTGATTGCTGTTTTATGCATTTGTAAAGCTCGCAGATTTCAATAGTGCTTTTTACCAAGAATACAAAATTGATCATTTCATCTTTCGGAAATTAATACTATATAAAAATTGAGCGATCGCGAGTCGCAACTACATATATGCATAAATACGTTAAAATACTTAAAAACGTAACAAGTAATAAATGTGTGCGTATCGAGCTACGTATCGAATTACTTTTAAAAATTGTATACATGTGTGTTTGTGTGTGTTTGTTATTCATTCTCTTACGTAGGCGCAGAGTCAGTCGTGATTAGAATAACAGGGTCAACTCTGGACTACTCGCGGTGAAAATTAATTACATATATTTCCGCGCGCGAAGGGGAAGGACTCGTTATGCATACGAGCGCCATCAGCTGTTTTTGTCGCGATCGGTCGTGGCTCCTCCGGCGGCGCTTCCACCACCAGCGGCGATGCCGCCGCCGCCGAACCTCATAAAGGAGTTGCCGGCGAATTTAATGTGACAGCAGCAGCTGGCGGGAAATCGAAACATCTCTTGCTTTATTTGACCAGCTGGTAAAACTGCCACGAGTTGTCTGTAAATGTACTTCTGCTTGCAGACCGTCTTGTATCCCTCCACGAATCCCTCGATTAGATTGCACTCGGCGTTTTCGTTCCTGTAAAATGTTTAAGAATGATACGATTATTTTTTGCTGACTTGACAAATTTTTGATCAAAGGAGTTTGATACTTACACGCATGTTTCAACTCGGACTCCTTGAGTGAAGTTTCCATGATTTACTACGAATAGCCATTCGTTATTTTTGTTCTGAGCTACTTTGGGGTAGACCACCGTTTCCTTTAAAATAACAAGACACAAAGTTTAATTTTCACAATCAATTTTCTAAACGATACGTTGAATACATAATTAATTGAAACTCACGTGAGAATCGCATAATGAGGCATCCTCGGGACCAGCATTGAATCGATGAACTACGTTCGGTACCTAAAATTTCGGTCTCGTTTTAAAATCATTCATCGAACAATCAATACCGAATCAGTGACAGATGTTTTCCCTTCTTTCAACAACAGCTTGTCAAATTTATAAAAAAAAAAAATAAATAAAGAAGAAAGTAATACATTACCACGTCCGAAGACGGAAGGAATTTATTGCTGTTTATTCTCAGATTAGTCTCGACGAAGTCTTTCGGGTAGTTGGGCGCGAACTCGCAGAAAGTCGATTTTTCGCAGTTGCCCGCGAGACGCGGCACGAACTTGGAGGGCGATTGCTGCTGCTGCTGTGACTGCGGCTGATTGACGCTCACAACGTCGTCCGTTGGGAATACGATTTTATCGATATTGTCCGCTGCATCGCCGCCACTGCCGCCGTCGCCGTATCTGGTGGATACTGCATCGATCATACACACACAAGAATAAATACATGTCATTTTCTCGGACTGTATATATTTTTCTTTTATAGAGCGGGGCTTTATGGAGCTTACGAGTTTTACAGGGGTTTACGAGTTTTATACCGGGGGTGTGATAGAGAATAAACGAGAGAATGTGTGTGTGTCTGCCCACCTGATTTTTCTGGAAACTTTAAATCACTTGTATCATCTCTCGACCAACGGCGCCATCCTCGCTCTGTACCTGTGCATTTGCTAGATATCTGGAAAAAGATATAAAATTCAAGTTTTTCAAAGTCGTTCTCCAAGAGCTCTAAAATCGTACAAAGTATATAATTTGCAACGTTTTCCGAGCGATTCGCTATGCATTTTCGAAAATTGTGGTAATCTATTTTTAATCCTTGATAGTCCGACGTTATTATACGTGGCGTTTATGATACTTTCAGAATACATTTTCATAAATATAAATCTCGAGCTTGCACCGAAAACCACAAAATGAAAATCAATATTTTATATGCCTCGAGAGTCGGAATGACGTCAAATTGTTGAGGTAAGCATATGTTATAATTGCTCTTCGTAGATTAAAGCGCGCTTCGCGCTAGTATAAAGTATAAGAAGCGAACAATTACGTCTTGTATCAATAACTACATAATTTTCGATTCTCAATTGGGTTTTGCCATGTAGTTATAGCAGTCGTGCATTTGCATACAATTCCATGAATACAATATTTCTATTTGCGTGATGCATAGAATTAATCCTTCTCATTCTCCGGTTTTTTTCACCTACGTGCTATAATCGACAGTATATTATTATTCATTTCCATCGAATTTCGTGTGGATTATTTAAAACAATTTACGATTAAATAAAATGTTTTAACGTGGGCGTTATTTCCGATATATACCGGGATCGTATTGGCGAGCGAGCGAAGCGAGTTAAACTTTTAATAAGATTTTTACCGAGAGAGAGAGAGAGAGAGAGAGAGAGTTCGTATATACATGTATAATGTGCACATGACGTAATTTACGAAAATACAATTTACATGTATATCGAAAGGCATTGATTGAACAATCGCACACACGTGAATTCTAAAAATAAAATAATGCGCAAAACTATTTCGGTACAAAGTAAGCAATTAGTCGGACTCGGAAAGGCACACGTGCGAATTATAGTTTCATCGAGGAGAGACTCTACTTTCGCTGCAGTGCCAAATTCATCATATCGCGCTTCAGTCTCGACGCGCGTACTTCAGTCACACGTTTCATGCGCCACTGAATCTGTCTCTCGCTATCTTCGTATTAAAATACAGGAGCGTAGCGATAGTTAGAATAAAAAAAAAATGGGAGAAATAAATGAAATTGCCTGCACTTATTTTGTCGCATTCACTCGTTTCAAAGCGGAGTCGTCGCGTCGCAGGCTCGAAACACGTGCACCCGAGATATTTATACATCTGCACACACTCGCGTACACACAAACAAACGCGCATGTATATAATACAGCCGTATACGCCGGTGCAGATATGAATTTGAGTAGACGAGCTTTAAGCTTCGGCAAGTGCGAGTATAGAATGCATGGTTGCATTCAATTTTACCACTTCTGCAGGCGGGGGTGGGTGGGCGGTGGCGGCGGCGGCGCGTCATTGTGTGGGTGTGTGTCTCGCTCTGCTCGCACCCATATAGCAGTAGCAGCGAATCTCGTCGAAAAATAAATCAAGCGCATCTCTGCGCGCGCGGTGAGGCTTAATTGTTGTGGACGCTCGCTCGCGTTATTTGCCACACATCCATACTCACACACACATACGCGTATATTCGCGCGAAAGAAAAATAGAGATAGAAACAGCGAGAGAAAACAAATTGATTAATCCTTAATGACGCTGTATTCGATTTCGCATCGGCACCGCGAAGAAGAAGAAGAGAGAAGGTGAAAAAGAAGAAGAGTAGTAGTATAGAAAATAGATTTTTACCAGAATGAGAAAAATCAACAGCAGGCGAACGTTGAGGGCCTGACTGAAGAGATCCATGATGTGATATCGACGCGATAAAGTCGATTTAGCTGACGGAATCCCCGAGGAGGACGAGATTATATCGACGTGCGTGTCTCTGTATGTACACACAACACAGACACTCAGTTCTCTGCTGCTGCGGCTGCTTTGCGGTCGCTATATCGCTGGCGGACGACTGCGATTTCGATTGCGGGCGGACTGGCGGGACACTCTGTACAGGTCGAGACACACGACGAGCTGCTCGTGTTAGTATAAAATGTGTATACGGATATATACAGATCACGACGAAGCTGGACGATGTCGTTGGCAGAGAGGCAGCAGCAGTGCCTTGGCAGTACGAGTAGATACGAGTGAGTAGTAGTCGGTGGTCGTGGCCGTGTTCACCGGCGACGAGTCGCGGCACGAATCGTCTAGCTCGAGCAGCAACTCTGGCATAAAAGACCGGCCGGACATTTAAAAAAAAAAAAAAAATTAAAAAAAGGAAAAAAAGATGAATAGCAGCGGCAGCGACGACGACTACGTTTTTCCGGCGATGACTCACTTTTCATACACACAAACTCTAATAACACACATTTACACACTGTGTCACTGGGGAAGCACAGAGCCACAGAACACAGAGCATACAGAGAGAGAGAGAGAGAGAGAGAGGAGGAGGAGGTGTGAAACAACACGCGCACCTGCGGCAATGTCTTAACGAAACCGAGAGAGCTATGTATACGTCGTTGTATGATGATATATTCCGAGAAGTTTACACCTGCGAGCTCTGCTCTCGTACGTATACGTCTCTGTCTCTCTCTCTCTTTCTCAACTACTACTATTACTACTACTAGCTAGCTAGTACCAGTCGTCGTGAGATATCGGAGCTATCTGTAAGGCGGCTTGCTTGATTTCGTAATCGTACAATACAAACAAAAGCAGCAGAAGTAGCAGCAATCATCGTCGTCGTCGTCGTCTCATCCTCTCTCTGCTGCTCCTCGCTGCGTGCTTAATTACCGCGAGCCGGCGGGGCACACATACGGCGGCTATTTACTGCGCTCCAGTCGGCAGCAGTACCTCAATCGCAGCAGCAGCAGCAGCAGCAGAAGTAGTAGTAGTAGTTCTATAGGATATAGCATAGAATCAAGCTTAAAGCTTAAATACGCGCACACGTTTATGTCTGTTAATATACATGTACTGCATGTATGTACGTATATAATGGCGACAGGAGTCACGCTGTAAAGTCTCTCTCTCTCTCTGTAATACAATAGTTGAAATATATGCGGAGCACGAGGACGAAATTAGCACTATTAACCGTGACTGCGGTAGGCCGACTCCTGCCTCCTGCTGCCTAGCTGCTTCTCCGCTGCACCGGGCTATATTATATCGTATAATAATGGGAGTCTGGTAAAGCTCGCGCGCGAGCGCTCGACTCTGCGTACTGCACACAGGGTATGCAGCGTGCTGCGGCGTCTATTTTATACGATCCAAATATGTTAATGCGTACACAGGACTGCCTGTCGTCCTCGTCCTCGTCGTCGGCACAATTGCAGCGACGACGATTCACTTATAATCCTTTTGCGCGACTGTGATACGCGACGCGCTTGTATGCGCGCGAAAAGATCTTTGCGCCTGTTCTATGTCTTTCGCTGTATTCGTGCGTTGTACTCGTAACGGGACTCGTGCTTTATGTGCTATATCCGATTTATGCGCTGCGTAATACGACTATAATTCCACGCGTTTGCGAGCATTCGCGAGCCCCCGTAAGGAAAATGCGCGAAAATTTGGATGACAACGTTAATCCTCGAATGTACAGTCTGTGTATTTCGTGTATTGTATAAACCCAACTGTGACACACGAAGCTTGTAAGTATACGCGCACACAGGAAAGACAGAGACGACGCGACGTAGACGAGCAGCCGATAATGTACGAGCGACTGACCGTGTATATAGCGTCAGCAGCGGCGGCTAGCCGGACAAATTGCGTGCCGATTCGCCGCTATATATTATGCATGTACATTATATGCACTGACCGACGCGAGCGAGAGAGAGAGAGAGAGAGAAGGGGAATATAGTCCTCGATCGGAGCATCGAGTTCGTATGTATATAACTTGAATAAGCTGTATGTAGCTGCCTTACATGTCGTATATACATCGTTATTACATACATAAAATTGTGTACTCGGTATTGCTGCCTATTCAAATTATCGGAACGATATATGACTCGTGCGCGGAGATTATACCCCGAGGTCCTGGGGCCCGAGTGTGCATATCGGAAATTCGAACATCGAGTTAATTTGGTATCTTGTATCGAGAGCTTTTCCTGCTGTGACTGCTCTGGTTTTTTTCTTTTTTTTTCGTAAATCTCTGCTTTGTTTTCCCCACCTCCTCCATGCTTCTCTTGTTTTCCATTGACACTATGTGTACTCGCGCGCGCACCTTTTTTGTTACAATTTACCGAGTTGAGGATATGCAACATAAATCAAACGATTGTAATTAACGTAAAACCGTGCGCTTCGTTGTTGTACTCGTAATACACTCGATGCAAAACTCGCGAAGCGGCAAATTATATTAATATTTTTATCCTCCTTTACGACGTGCGTCAAAGATCTTGTTTATGTGTGTGTGTTTGTCCGTGTGTGAGCTTGTGCGCGCTTTTCGAGTAGATACTAGAAGCGATGTAGCAAAAAAAAATTTTTATCAAACACCAAAGAGAGATGTGCATTAAACTTCAAGTTCGTACAGACTATTAATTGGACTTTTTGTGCGTCGAATAAAACGCGAAACAGTACAGCTCGTTATCGGATTATTTTTTTATTATATCGTATAGCTGCAGTGGCTATTTTTTAATATGCATTTTCACTTACTCTCTCTCTCTCTCTCTCTCTCTCTTTCGGTTCTGCACGCGCGGGGGAATACCACGCGCGTGCATGCCCGTGCGTAATACGATGTATCTACTAGTGCTCGTAAAGTCGAATAGCTAATCGAATCGTTCAAAAAAGTGTATATTCGCGCGGGTTCGATTGCGATTCCCATCCATCCCTGGATATATACGTATAATTTATTGATTCGTAATAAAAATATTCAATAAAAGTTGAAGCGCGTGTGTGCGGAGCTGAGCTCGCGCGAAGAGAGAAATAGAGCAGCAGCAGCAGCAGCAGCAGCAATATAGCATCGGGTGACATTGACGAGCTGCTGCCGCGAGTAGTACTGCACACTCACGCGCGACTCTGCAGCGAGCAGCATATATTGAGAGAACCTTTTTCCATTAGTATGTGCGGAAGTGCACGCCAAATTCTATTGTAGCAGCAGCAGCAGCTATAGTGCAGCACACCTGCAGTACACACGCGTGCATCTTCTCGCGTATACCGTTAGCATTGTTAAATACGAAATGGCTTATACATGCGATCGCTGCATACATATATACAGATATAGATATATAATGCCATGATTGCCGACGAGCGGCTGTCGGCGGAGAGCGGCAAATATACGACTGAAAATGTTATAAATCGATGCGATCAATCACGTACGTACTACTGTGCGCCGGGCGTGTGCAGGTTTCAATTTCAAGAAGCGACAAAAAAGAAATACGTATAGATCGAAATTCGAATTTCGCGCGCCACGTGTGTGCGAGTGAGCACTGTGCGTGCGGTGCGTTTTACGATTGTCCATACGCCATAGTTATTCGTCCGAAATATTTGGTACATAGCGGTGGGACGAGATGGCAATAATTACGAGGAGACGCTGAAAATTTTCATAAAGCTTTCCGTAGAGATTTCCATGGAATATTTTTCAATGGACGTGCTTCGGTGTCTAGAGGGCAACGAAATTGAAAGAATGGCAGTCACGGAAATCTTCTAGAAAACGCTTACCGAAGAAAATGTTCATTTTTACACGCTTTAGTATGCCTCACTCCTCCCCCTATCCTTTGAAAGGAATGGAATTTGATATAATACACATTTTCGTAAAGAATTTGCGCTCGAAAAATGTATCAATACTTTTTTTCTATTATTGGATACTCGGAATTTTTCGAGCATGACACCATAGAGGCGATTTGACTATTTTCTGGTAATTTGTGTGCAGTTTTTTGTGAAAGTGCATGTAGCCGATATTAGCGCGCACTATTGATCGAATTAAAGGACCAGCTAGGACAAGCATCGATAATCATATTTGACCCTGTAATTGGGACGAAAATTAATATTATACGCAATGATCCATCGAATTACGATTTTCTAAATTATTAAACGTGTCGCGTATAATCCGTAAATGAAAATGAAAGCTCGCGAGTGCGCCAAACTACAAAAAACAACATTGCACGAGTCGTCGTCCCAATAAAAAGTTTATCGATATTATTTTTTTTTTTCGGCTCCGAGACAAGAGCCCGGAAAAAAGGCATGGAATGATTCTAAACGGCACAAAAATTCATTACATCTTACTTATTTCAGATGGAATGAGTGCACTGCACAGCGTGTCCTTGCATTATTGCAAAACTCGAGCACTCGACTTTTACACTAATTGGTATTAATGCTTTTGCAACATTATAAGACGGCCGTGTGCCTCGCCTTAATTCCGCAGCAAGAGGCGGGAAATTTTTTACTCGCAAATATTTTTATTTTCCTTCTGAAATGATCTTTATATTTTCTTCGTTATTATGCTACGGAAGAAAAAGATGAAGAAGAAGAAGTAATATACAAAGGTACACTCAAGACTATTATTATAAAATGCGGGAACAAATCGAGCATAGTGCAGTATCTTATATAGATGATCACACAATACAATTAAAAGTAGCGCGCGACCGATCTTAATTCAATTAAAGCGATTTACCGCATCGTTAGTTATACAATTTCACCAAGGTGCAACGCAAGACAAATGAGTCGGAACGGAAATGATCAGAAACTCTTCATCGCGAGCGCGCGGGGGCTGCTACTGGCATGGCTTTCGTTCATTGTGTGTGATACAGAAATAATATACAAATGATGCTCTCGCGAAGAAAATGCACCTACTACTGTGCGAGCTCTCGTTTTCAATTTGCACAAGCGCGCGCCACGCGGCATATATACATTTGAAAATATATTGAAAAATAATACGCTTTCTACTGCGAAATGCTTTCTAGGTTTTAAAGAAACTATACACTTACCCACCCGCGCTACGTAGCAAAAGTGTGTATCCTTGTGTGCGCGCGCGTCTATATACGTGTAGAAGGATAGTCTTTTATTTTATTTATGCGCGCGCGCGCGGGTCGCGATGGAAAAATGGGAAAAAAGAAGAGGAAGCAAAACGAAGAAGAACTTGATCCGATCGATTTCATATAGATACTTATTATCCGCGCGCCCGCGCGCGGGATGTCAATTTGAACGAGAAAAATTGCATCTTTCGTTGTATATAAGATCGTAGAGATGCTCTGTGCGCGAATCTCTGAAATAATGATCGACCGAATTTTCTTTTCGAAATAACAACTTCTACAAACAGAGAGTTAATAAAGGAACTTTTGGGCAACTTCGTCGAGTACGAATCAAACATCCCCAAACACACTATGTCTGAAGTTTTCAAAGATATATTCCCTATCGATAGAGTCTATAATTACTTCTTTGTTAAGTTACTTCGATGATGCGCTTACATCGTCTTTCTCTCTCTGGTCCGGTTCCCTGTAAATATCATTAGCGGTAGTGGTCGTCGCATTTGGAATATAAACCAACTTGAATCAGCCATGTACATAGCGAATAAATACCATCTGAAGGATTAGATACGGTCATGCGAACCATTATACTCTCCTATCGAGAATGCAGAGCAACTCTCGACGAGAACGACGCTGACCGTTGAAAGTGAATTTCCTTTTCAAAGGCCCGGCGGAGTTTCATTATGTACTTGAATTATAGATATATGTATGTATACGCGAGCTCGTTGCATTTTATATAACATGTAAAGCAGGGGATAGAGATTCTTTTTGTGTGTGTGAGTGTGTCGCACGCCCGGGGAAGGAGACGTGGATAAAAGTCAAGATTTACTCTAGCGGAAATACAAGGAGCCGCAGCTATGTACGCGGCATCAGCACGGCCACTTGCAACTAATAGCTCGAGAGATATACGACGACTACCCTGGCGCGTCCACGAGCTTCTTCCGGACGCGAGGATATTTTCTATTTTTATTTTGAATGTATACAGCGAGACATTTATAAGGTCGCTGCGTCCGACGTGGAGGAGGCTTTTGAAAAAATATTTTACCGACGCATGTCGCTAGATTTTTTACCTCTTCTTCGTACGTATAATAATTTTTTCAAAATAAATTTCTTTTTTTTTTTTTTGAGAAAATGGTCTATCAAGTTAAACGTCATTTTTCCTCGAGTACGCACAGATTTCAAATATTTACATTAATATCGATATTATTCATACTACATTAATTCTCATGAACTCATGTTACCTTTTATTTCAACTATAAAATTTCAATATAATTGACTTTTATATCCAAGATCTGTTATATACAATTAGTTGTTCAAATGGAAAGGTTTACTATACTTATATAATTATTTTCATTTGGCTGCTTGCAGATTTACCGATGAAGTTACTGGTCATCTAGCGGCGAGGCGATTGCATTAATTGCGATTGAATTTTCACGAATTCAATCAAATTATTGAAATTCAGAAACGATTACTTTAATTTTTATGTCTGATGTCAAATTAAATCGGCATTAAATTTAAGATTTTGCACTGAGAGATAAACTTCCGTGGACAATTTCAAAGTGAGTAATATTCACACCTTTTTCCATTTGACCTGCAAATAAATTAATTATAATTGCATCATTAATTAAACTCTATGATTAACGTTGATTTATTCAATAAAAAAAAAGTTGCATTATAATAGATACAATTACTAAAACAAAGCGGCCCGTACTTCTATTGTTAAATGTTGTTTTCGTAACTATAACGCGTCCGCTCATCTCCTTAGCACAATATCGAAAATTTTCCCTTTCAATTCATCAATAAAAGAAAAAATATAGGTTCAGCTGGCACCGATCGGACTTTCGCTATCTCGTCGTGTGGTGTGGTACACGATTAGAGCTCTCGCGGAGGCTCAGCGATGGAAGGGCGCGCGTGATATCCAACTCCATATATATATATACCACCGATCGCGGTGGCGGTACAACGCGTGCAGCCTCGCGGCCCGACACTCTCGTGCACTCTGCGACGCTCGGGTATCGATACACACGTATACTCGAGTTGGACGCGCGAGACCAGCCTCGCACTCGCTTTTCGAGCAATAGCTCGTTGGGTGCGTGTACGCGTGTGTGCGTATCGCGTGTACCAAGGCGCCTCTATTGCGACTCCGGGCTCCGTCCAGCTGCAGCAGCAAGTGGGAGGAGTGAGTATAAAGTCGCGACTTGAACGATGGCGCCGGTTAGTGAGTGTTAGTGAGAGTGCTTCGACGCGGAGGAGCTTCGCAAACAACCATCTCGAAGGCGGCAGAAGAAGCAAAAAAAAAAAACACCATGAAGGTACAGAAAACGTGCACGCATGCTCGAGCTTAGGCACTTCTTTCCTCTTTTTTCTATACATATAATACTTTTTCTTGTTTGCCTGCGTACTTCTTCTCTTTTTTGCATTTCTCTTCTTCTCTCTCTCTCTTTTCACCCCGGCAATACTAGTGAACTTTGAGTGAACGCGAGAGTGTGTGTGCTGGTGCGAACGTCGATCAACTTCTCCGGCTTTGTGCATATAGCAGACACACACACACATATAGGTATACAGTTTGTGCATTTTTCTTCCTCGCCCGAGAGTACATACGTGTGTGTGTGTGTGCCGCTGCTGCTACGCTCAACGATAACTTTGTCATGTAGTGCCTTTACAAATTTCAATCACTTCTGTCGGTACTTTTTTAAAAGGGAGGATTTTTTTCTCCTCTGCGCTCTCCAAAGTGCTGCTGTTGCTGCCGCTGGCTGCATCAGCGCTCGCGCGAGGCTTTTCTCCGATTTTTCGCGCGCGCACCGCTGAAAGCCGCACATCCGATTGATCTCGCAGCTGCACGCATACTCACACACACACACACACACACACACACACACACACACACACACACACACACACATACGCGATCGCGTATAATGCCAAAAGCATGTTGATTTTTTTTCTTTCGTCCTTTCTGCCGACGCCGTACGCACAGTTCTCGAGAGATCGTGTGAGCGCTACTCGACGCGCAAATAATTTTCGAGTTACCGCTTGAGCAAAAAGGAACAACGGAGCAGCACTGGAGATGATTAGCTTTATCCTCGCGTTGTCAATGTCTATTTGTCATATTACGTGCGTTGCACTGCATTTCGGAGGGAAATTATAATGCTGCATGACTCGTGTGCGCGCGCGCGGATACATCCGAGAGCGAAAGCAAACTTCGAATGTTAATTAAGTATGCACGCAGTCGCGACTGTCGAGCTCCTGAGCTCAAGTTTTCAAACGAGGATTAAGATTATGCATTAAGGAAAACAATTCCAAATTTTCCGTCTTTGTCTCTCTTTCTTTTTCTTTGTCACAGGCTCCTGAGAGGTGTGATGAGGTAAAACTTATACATGCATTCATGCAGTGCTTTGTAGGCCAAACGAAGAAAAAGAAGAAAGCATCGTGTGCCTGTGTGTGCAAAAGAGTGTCATTAGGCAGTGCGTGTGTGTGTGCATGCGGAGTCTCGCGACTCTGGGAAACGAAAGAAAAAGTTAGAAATCGCCCGATTCAGCCGCGAGAACACGAGTGCCCGAGATTTTTTATACATATGTACGGATTACGCGTCAGTATATAAATTCAATAAATGTTCGTGTGCGCGTGTTTTTTTTTTTTTTGTACACCATTCTCCAAGCGTCAAAAAAAAGTAATTAATTTCGAATGTTCCCGCGGGCCACACAGAGATGTGCTCGGGGCCACCGCACCGATCGCGTGTGTTCGGTTCGTTATGTCGAACCAAACGAGCAAGTAGGACCGAAAAAAAACGAGAGTAAAAGAAAGGAATTTCGAAATAAATAAAAAAAAAAGAGAAAAAGAAAAAACGTTCGAAATCGTGTCCGCTTCCGTCCGATGATAATAACACGATCGGCGGCTACACGACGCGCGAGCACAATAGCGCGTGCCGATTCTTTACTTCGAGAGCTTCGCTGCACGTATACGTGCCTCGATATATATATGCTGCGCGATATAAACGAGATTTTACCTACATATATACCGCGAATCGCGTCGTCGTCGTCGTCGGGTCGCGAGCGAGAGTGAACGCAGACACACATATCACATACACATACATAGAGACAACGCATGTGAAAGTTGCAGCTCAAACGGCCGAGTAAACGGCCCCTCGAAGAGCTGGTCTCTCTCTCTCTCTCTGGCTATCGTGTCTGCTTGTGTATTATATAGATGCTATATAACCTTTCGTCCGCGAGCGATATCTTTCTCTTTTTACTTTTTCCCTGCTGCGCTGCGCTGCTCCAAGAGAGATGACCGTGTGTTGTGCCGTTGCCTCTTGACATTATTATTTTATAATGTTGAGCGCGTATACAAGACAATGAACTCATGATCGCGACGAGAGCCTATTATAATGCGCGCCGACACCGGCCGGGGTCTATGTCAAGGACATTGCGCTACTTTTTTTTTTGTGTTCAACTCACGAGTGTCAGCTCGCTAGCTCCTCGAAAAATCGGTTCTTTGAAACGTCGCGCCGATCGAAAACCTGCGTATACATAATGTTGCAATTCATTTTAGAGATCGAGAGTAAAGTGTGTGCTCGTGTGCGTCGTTTTTTCGAAGGTAAAATTAACACTCGACGACCCGGCTAATGGAAAAGCTGCTCAAAACTATCTCTTACGAGTATTAGCATACAGCGCACACCGTTGTTAGGAGGAAGTGTACGTTGGTATACGTTTTCGTAAGGCATGGTATTTTTTTCGGATTGCCAAACTACTGCCTCAGTTAACAGGAGGGTAATTACTCATAACCGCGAAAGTTTAGAATGTATCCGCATCTAACCGCTTACGAGTAGAGAAATATACATACACATTGTGACACTGGAAAATTCTCAAAAATATACAGACGTCAAAGTTCCGAGATTAATCTAGTTTTAAATCAACGTGTTTGTTTTGTTTTAACGATTTTACAAATCGGTTTTAAAACTCTAACGATACATTTTCTAAAAATTGCTAAATAAAGTGAAAGTGCAGTCATGCTATATCGCGTGTGATCGAAGTCTACGCAGTCGATATGCGATTGCTCAAAGTTTATAAAATATTATTATAATGGTATGTAGTTTAAAAGAATCACAAATTGTTCCTTTGTCAAATAAAATCAAAGTGTAAAATAAACTAGAAAAATTTTCATTTATTTGTAAAATTTTAAAAGAATATATTTGTTTTACATTCAATTTCCTTCATTTTCATATTATTCACGATTTGATGGAGCTAAAAAAACTTTTTAAACAAATATGTGGAACAAACTATTATTAAAAAACATTTTTGCATAAAATATTCGCATTCCTGGAAAAATTATTATACGCAAACGTTAAAAATATCGATAATAATGACTTTCGAGTTCGCGTTACGGTTTGTACGCATCGCGCATTTTTTTACCGTGGATATAATAATAAAAAAAAAACTTTGAGGTAGCTTCAGTTTCACGGGATCCTCGTCACTTTGTTAAAAGCACGTTTCGATGCGTGTGCGCGCGAGTGTAATGCATGTTACAACGAAAATTTCAATATCAGCTCCTGGATAAACTTTCAGATGAATATTTCATATAGCGCGCGCTTTGGCAAACACGCGCGCGACACAACTGCACTTTTACTATATTATAAAACTTTTCAACTGTGCTACGTCTCGTTAACATCGCTACTTAATTTTTTAATTGATAAAAGAGCGAATGTAATAATAACACACAACTGCGGGCAATTATCCACGCGTAAAAATAAATAAGGCAAAATAGAATTCGGCAAAAGAGGTATTTGAAAGTAAATTGGGTTTTATACGATTGGACTCCTTTTCAAACATTCACTTTGAGAATACTTGCAGGTTTTATACGGTGAGCTTGGGTGTGTTTGTGCATGTGTGTATATGTGTGTATGTAAGGGCCGAGCGCGGCGGCATAATACGCGGTCGCCCGAGCAAAGCTGCACACGTACCTTACGGCGCGCGCAAGCTTCCGTACTCTCAATGCCGGGATTTCATACGCGCATTTACTCTTCAAATAAAAATCTTTCTGTAAAGCATATACGGTCCCGCGTGTGTACTCGTAATATCATAAAATCATTCCGCTATAAGGTTGCGAAGAAAATCGATTCGGTAAATATTATACGTCGGGATATATTAATTTTTATGCAATCACTGAACTTATTAGATAAAAAGTGTAATTTCACATGTGTGGCGAGCGCGGCATTTTATTAGATTGCCACCATTACGCAAAATATATATACACACACATACGCACGCATATAAGTACATATAATGTTTTCTAAATAATGACGCAATCCCGCCGAGTTTTTTTTCCTCCTTTTTTTTTCTTATTTTAATTCGCAAAGGCAGAATTTAATGTAGAACATAATTCGAGGCGAGCAGAGCAGCGTGACGAGAGAGCCTCCGAGCATGCAGAATGAGAGAGAGGCTCGTTTTTGCTCACGAACAGTGCAGTGCAGCAGCATGATTCAAGGATGTATATATCCTACGGTAATCCCGCCCGCCGTCGTGTAGGACGATCGCATTGAATTTGCATTAGATGAAATGCCACGTTGGTTGGTAATAGTAGGGCTGGGCTGACCCTGACAGGCGAGCGTAGTCGAGCGTTTAGCCCGAGACGTATCACACGCCATTTTACGCTGAAGTATCTATTTTATGGCTTTTATCGCTGTCAGCCACTCTTTACTCGATTTTTTTTTTTTTTTTTTGAACGTAAATTCAATTCTCTTTTAAATGCATGTAATTCAACTGGACCCAGCCCCGCGCTGCGATTGAACTCGTAAAGTGACGCGTTTTTTTTATGCAGCTGTATAACGCGTCGATATCGGGGCTCTTATATGAGCATAAAGAGGATTTCACTGGGATAGTCACTATTCTGCAGAGAAGTCTCGAAGAACCGTATAAGAAACTCATATAGATGTGTTCACGCGAAAGATCGCAGACTAGCGCACATCTAAACAACTACAATAATGTGCTCTGGCTGCCTACAGCTATCGGTGCATTCGCGCTGTATCATATACAAAACTTGCAGCTCTATGCGCGCGCGTTTGCCATATAGGAAGCTGTTGCTGCATATAACATCGAGTTTAACTTTCACCCCGAGGCGCTGCGTGACATGTAACACGTGTGTCGCTTCGCGACTGCTGAAAATTTTGCCTGCACAGCAGCAGCAGCAACGGAGTGTCCTTATATTATTATACGCCGTGGCGTACTAATTGTAAACATTTCTGAGATAAGCTTGCACTGCAGGCGTGTACGTATTCGAGTCTGCAAGCTGGGCCGAGGCATTCGATTGCGCACGTACT